GGGATGGGAAACCTATTAAACTGTTATTATCTTACCAAAGCCAGAGTCCAGCATGACTCTTCTCTGCCACTATGTCTCGGTAGCTGTGAGCTATCTACATCAGCAGCATTTTACATCAGCAGATATGCAGGACTAGCATGCTGTTCAGTTTTGAAGCCTACCTACAACTGACTTTATAAAACATGCAAAAGTATTGAATGGTGTATTTATGAAGTAATACTTGAGTATTTATGAACAGCTTATGACAGTAATCGCAGATGTTTTATGAAATTAGTGATGCTGTATTGACACAAGGGGCCTTATACAAAAGTGACAGACTTGACAGATTTGTTCCCATTAAAGCACTTTTATGCAGCTTCACTCCCCAAGCAATGCAACTTAAAAGGCAGACACTAAGTTAAGAACAGCAGGCATGAGTTCTGGAGTTCTACTTAACCCCTTAAATGGTCAGGACCCACCGGCAGGCCCAAAGTTTTAATATACGCTTCTATAACTTATAAATAGCTCAAACAGTTGGCACTAAAGTCTCTTTAGTTACTGGATAATAAGTCTTCACGCATAATAAGCCTGAGATTTTAAGGGGTTAAAGTGTAAGTTAAAGTACAACATTTTTAGACCAACAACAGTCATTTTTCTCATCTGCAGTCACACAGTTCTCATCAATTAAGACCTCATTAATAACTCACAGTGCATTTAATACCTAAGTACACTTAAAAGCAAATACTCTTCTACTTTTGTACTTAAGGAATATAGACAGAGGACCAAGAATATTTCTACTTCCATTTTTGTACAGGAATATGTATATTCATACTTATAGCACAACATGTATAAAAATGATCACTTAAGTTGGAGGGCATCAAACTGTTCTATCAAACTGATATATGGTGTTATAAACTAGGCCTCTGCCTTAGAAGTCCTATTATTTGGGAGTGATGCTTCATAACAGTGTTATAAATGAGCGAATGTCTTCATAAAACATTATTATGCCATCTTCGATTACTGGCAGGAGCTCATAAATACTTGCTTTGTAAATATATTATTCAATGTTTATGCATGTGTTATGAAGTCTCTATGTAGGTAGACATCAAATAAAGTGTTACTCGTTTCTCAGATGTTTTCAGAAGTCTATGTTAAGACAAAACTTCCTTGATTTTGTTTATTTTGCCGAAGCAACAAGTGGCATTGTACAGCATAGAAGTGTATATTATTATTTCAATGTACAGTGTTTTGATTTTTAAGTTTCAAATGGTCAGCTAGCTAACAGCCTGGTTAAGATGAAATAATCACTTTACAGCGTCTCAGTAAACTGCTTTATTGCTATGGTCCCATTTAGGTGAAACTCCACCAATTTTTAAAAATTCATCATAATTCAATTATAAGATGTAAACAACGTCATTCAGTGTGGTATCAGGTGAAACGGTCCGTTCTAGAGCAACTGACTGAGTCAGAGTTTTTGACAGTGGTGGTGATGGGAACCAGACGTTTGAAGAGCTTAATGGCCCTAAAAGCTCCATCACAGAAAGGAATGACGTAAAACAGTTATAAATACACAGCCTGATGCCTGAGACTCAAACTAAACTAAAACTCAGAAGACACACCGTTTCATTGGTTGTTTTGGATCATAAATAAAATATTTGCACTGTAGATTTGTGACTTCTGGTATCCATCACCACCACTGTAAAGACATCTGAGTCAGGAAGTTTCTCTACAATGAACTGTTTCATATCAAACCACTCAGAATGACTTTGTTTACATCTAAACCACTGAACTAAACTGACATTTGAAAAACCTGCACTTGATGACATAAAAAGCTGCCCATGTGGACTGCTCACTAGGTCCTGAGTCATAGCCAACGTGTTGAAGTGTGTCAACAAACCAAATCCTGATTTTGGAGGCTGGGCTACATACCAGAAAAATTGCTCTTGTCTTTCTTAACCTCTTCAAAACACCTTCAGTTGTCACATTATGAGACATCTCAATTACTGTCAGTGGTCGAGTCCTGAGAAGACCGAAGAGAAAGAAAGGAAAAGGTGCCACCTAGTGGCTAAAACATTGGTAACAGTTGTTCTGTGTAGTCCATGTTGAACAAGATCTGTTTTTCAACCCAGACCTCACTGAAAATTGCTGCTTCCTAGAATTTATAAGCATGCATCTAAAGCATTTTTAGGGGATTTGCATTTTTTAAACACCCAATTTAACTCTATTTAAGCTTACTAAAGTTGTTGGCATGATTTTTTTATGCACAATTCCTAACGATGGGAGAATTTTAGAGAGCAATTTTAACAAGGTCTTGGTTGAAACTTTCCCTTAAAAGTCCCATATCCTACATTCACTTTGTATTTTTTTTCCTGAGGTCCATTTATAAAATTGTGTGTTTATTTACAAAAATTCAGCCATTCACTTCTACATAACCATTTTCTAACTTCTCTTTATCCCTTAGAACTAAACAGGCTGCTTTTGTTACTGTGCCTTAGAAACTGACATAGGTAATGATCTCTGTTGTGCTTGACTGTCCTTCACTGTGCCTCAATCAAAAAGCAGTTCAGGCTGAAATATTCCTTATAACTTCCACTCATTTCAGATTTTTAACCTACTTAATTGACTGATTTTAGCTCATTTTGCGCATGACTCATAAATGCTAGCCAGTCAAGAGTAGCCAAAACAGCCTTGAACAGTACACACACAAAATCACAATGTTTGTTTCGGTAGTGACAATTTTTACTGTTACATACTGGTTTTCAGACTAACTGCTCACCATAGGCCATGAGGGACAGGCATGCAGTCTCACTTTCTGCTCTAAAATACAAGTGTGTGGCTAAATTAAGGCTCTGCCTATTTAATAAAACACTTTGTGCTTCAGTAGTGACATGAAAACCTGGTACAACATTTTTAATAAAGTGTTCTTATTTAAAAATTAAACTCATGATAAATCTAAATCTTTCAACTTTAAAAGAAATTTAAAAGAAATCAAAAATACATTTAAAAAATATTTTTCAAAAGCTGAAACAGAAAGTACCCTAAAAATGCTGACTTATATTTAGCTTTTTACATTCTCAATTAATTCCTCAGGTTTAATTTGACCATAACATAATATCATGTGAATATCCAAGGTCTGAATAATTTTTTAAATTGTTTTTTTCTTTTACTGTGGGACTGCAGTTTGAACTAATTCAGTAGAATGATCCATATACACTGATCAGGCATAACATTATGACCACCTCCTTGTTTCTACGCTCATTGTCCATTTTATCAGCTCCACTTACTATATAGGTGCACATTGTAGTTCTACAATTACAGACTGTAGTCCATCTGTTTCTCTGCATACTTTGTTAGCCCCCTTTTACCCTGATCTTCAGTGGTCAGGACCCCCATGGACCCTCACAGAGCAGGTACTATTTGGGTGGTGGATCATTCTCAGCACTGCAGTAACACTGACATGGTGGTGGTGTGTTAGTGTGTGTTGCTCTGGTCTGAGTGGATCAGACACAGCAGTGCTGCTGGAGTGTCCCTTCTGGACTGAGAATAGTCCACCAACCAAAAATATCCAGACAACAGCGTCCTGGGGGCAGCATCCTGTGACCACTGATGAAGGACTAGAGGATGACCAACACACTGTGCGGCAGCAGATGAGCTATCGTCTCAGTTTACATCTACAAGGTTGACTGACAAGGTAGGTGTGTCTAATGGAGTGGACAGTGAGTGGACAGTGTTTAAAAACTCCAGCAGCACTGCTGTGTCTGATCCACTTGTACCAGCACAACACACACTAACACACCACCACCACGTCAGTGTTACTGCAGTGCTGAGAATGATCCACCACCCAAATAGTACCTGCTCTGTGAGGGTCATGGGGGTCCTAACCACTGAAGAACAGGGTAAAAGGGGGCTAATAAAGTATGCAGAGAAACAGATGGACTACAGTCTGTAAGTGTAGAACTACAAAGTGCACCTATATAGTAAGTGGAGCTGATAAAATGGACAATGAGTGTAGAAACAAGGAGGTGGTCATAACGTTATGCCTGATCGGTGTATGTCAGTGTGTTATTTTTTTCACGAGATCACAAAAACAACGCATTTAAAATAGGCTGTTTTTGCAGCTTAGCTACCATATACTGACTGTAAAACTGAGGAGTGAATGTACGTTCTGAAACACTCAGAATGTATATAACTATAACTATAATATAACTATAATAAGGACCCTTTAAATGAACAGATGATCACATCTTTGTGCATTTGTCAGACTAATAGTTTTAGAAAGTAATTACAGACAAATAACTAAGAATATAAAGCATTTTAACATTTATATGAGGCTCCTCCCAGACTAGGTGACGACTCCTTCCAAAACCTGATGAAACTGAACAGGGAGAAGCTCAGTGGTAGAGGACAGAGAAGAAGCAGAGGCAGTATTAGTAATGGACTTCAAACATTTTAAGGGAAATATACTGTTGGGCACTCTCTCTCATTGCTGCAGGCCATTTCCACTTTGCTGATACTCACAAGAGCAACACTTTGAAAGTGATACTCATAGACATGTCTAAGCCTGGACGCATGTCTATGTGAGGAAATAAAGAAAAAGCACTGTGTAAGCTGAAAGCTGGAGAACGTTAAAACAGAACCCCTTTATATATGAACCATGTAAAAAAGCTCTGACAAGCGTCCATAAAGTCACAAACGGAAAAGAAAAAATTTCATTTCAAGCTCATATTTTGACTCCTAGAACTATGATAATAACTCCCTGGCCTTATGAGTATTAAGGGCATAATTCACCCACTGCACATTACCACCATACAAAAGTGTTGAGGGTTATTTGTTTTATACATCTGTCAGGCTCTCTGTACCAGAGCTGAGATGAATAACTTCATAATATGTTTTTCAAGGAGAGAAGCAAGCTTGAAAACATGTCCTCTGAGTAATAGTGAAGTGCATTCGATTTTCAAGGGAGCACAAGGAAATATGTTGTTTCTTGCTTTTGAACAAAGGCAAAAAAAATACACCACATCTTGACCAGGAATGTTTATTGATGTGCCTGTTCTGCTCTCCGACCTCAAGAAATAAACAAATGCTTTGCTAACATCTTCGCTTCAAAAAGAAAAAGAAAAATCAGCAAAATACTGGCAAACATAGAAGTATTCCCAGCTTTGTATAAAAATTATATGTAACACTCCCAACTCTTTTTACCAACCAGTTAATTGTGGCACTGAGTAGGTACATAGTACACCCCTGATTAAACCTATTTATCTTCATTGGTAAATGTTTACAAAAAATAACACCTCAGCAGATATGTTTGCTCTTGCCATAGAAACTCTAAAAACACAAAATAAATATTCCTGTGTACAGTGTTTCGGCAGCTTTAAAAAAAAAAAGTTCATGGGTGACAATCAGTGGACCAAGAACACCAATGTGCAGGTTGCTTATGAGCTGGATAGTCAACGAGCAAGCTCACTGGTGACTTTCAGAAGGCCAAGAAAAGCAGACGTAATACTGAATAAAAGTGCAATTTCATTGTAATGTGGCAAAATAACTGTCTGTGAGCGTTCCTTTTTTGTTTATTAAGACAACAGAAATGAACTTGAGTTGCATTATATATCAAGTCACAGCTTCGTCATTGGTATGTGCAGGTTATTCCAAGGCCCCATCCACAGTTCTTCCTCATCGGACTGTGTGCGGTCACTGTGCGACCCTAGCAGGTCCCTCACCTCCTCATTGTCTACTGTGGACTCTTGCTCGTCCACGTTCTGCGTTCTTTCGCTTTCTCCTTTCGCCATGTTGGACTTGGAGGCTATACTCTCTGGGCCCGTGGTGCTGGAGGCCAGGGACCCGCTGGAGGGCTGGGCGTTAATGTTCTGCTCGCCCCCGGTGGCGCCCACAACGGTGGGGCTGTTGAGAGGAACTCTCTCCTCTTGAGTCACAGCCAGTTTGTCCAGTTTCTTGAAGTGCTTCCCCAGCCGGACGGGCGAGCTGAATTTGATGTTGTTGGTGTGGGCTGCTCGCCGCGTCCGGATGATGGAGCCGTTCTGGGCCAGATAGATGCTCCCGTTGATGTTACTGTGGCTGTTAACATTCACGTTGGACAGGCGATTCCGGTGAGCCTCTGGGGCACTGTCGTCCCCTGTTGAACTGGTCTCGTACTCGCGATCCACCACCAACTTGATTCGCTTCTTTCTGGCATACTGTAACAGGAAGAGCACGCATACAAAAGGTAATGAGCTGACGGAAAAGAAGCAGAACCGATTTGAGGCTGATTTAGTCAGATTTCACAAGAATTCAGTCTGATTATTTTGATCAAATTAATATCACTTTTGAAAAATACCCTGAATACATAATGCGTTAATGTGACTGGAGTTACTACTTACACATAGTAGAATATAGACAACAAAAAAACACACTCTAAGGCCCTGAATTACTCAGTGTTTGCACATGTAAAAACACATGCAAAATTGATAAACAAAAATGTCCAAGCTGATCTACTAGAGGACTACATCTTTCATATGATTACTGTTCATTTTGCGTGTTTGACTTAATGAATATGCAATTTAGATATAAACGTAGGATGGTGTCAATGCAAATACATAAATTTAGCACCTGTAGTGCGATTTACAAAGCCTGGAAATAAAGCTTACCGAAATATTTTTAGCAAGAAAATGAAAATGTTGTATATAACACATATAAGAACTGAATATGTAGTTAATTAAGTGCCTCACTCCAGTGATTATACTCGCTCCTCACTGAAACGTGATTGGTGACTGAATTCATTGATTAGAAAAAAAGAAAGCTGATGCGCAGCCAATAGTGTAGAACCAAGCTAAAGTCAGGCCAAAAAATAAAACTGCCAGACAGAGGCAAATGGAGGAAACTCAGCCTAAAGGTTCACAATACAAGACAATATCATGGACCAGAGCTTATTAGTGCCAGGATCTATGATCGTATTTATTAGGGCTTGTTTTTTTAGATGTTTAAATTTGAAAATAACATGGCAATTTATTTTGGCCAAACTTGATTTAATATAGTTATAACCAATTATGGTGATGCCAATTCCTGATTCTAGAGATCTACCGCATTAGTGAGTTTAGATCCAACACACCTGGCTCTAATACTTAGATTCATAGTCCAGAAGTTTACTTTTTGCCTGAGAAACCAGCACCTTTTCACAGCTCACACTGTAATCCCAGCACCTTAACCATTTCAAAAACACTGCCAGTGTCAGCTTGGGTCATTAGATACAATGAGTTTTCTGAACAAACATCTCAGCAGTGCCACTGCTGTGATTTTTCAGAAGCTTTACCTCAAATCCAGAAAACATCCCATATATAGGGGCAGAAATAGCCACATTTTTGTGTCTTAAAGAGGTTAAAGAACAAAACCTTGATTGGATAGATTTCAGAGTGGAATGCAGAAATAGGCCTTCAGAGAAGAAAACATGCAATAACGAAAGTCAGAAATGCAGAGCACTCTGGGAAAGATCACAGCAACACACTCACGGTGTGCAAACAAGCCACCAGTTTAAACTCCAAACAGTAATTAAAGTAGACTTTCATGCTTACTGAGTAGGTCTGATGCTAATTTAGGATGTTGTAACGGACTCATCAGTATCTGAGTCAGCCTCGTCTTTCTCCTCGTTGTCTTCTGGACTTGCTGTTTCATCTGCAGAGACCTGAAATTTGTCGCTATAATTTTCCTCGTCTTCAACTATAGGTGAAAGATTAGTGCTCTTTGTGTTTCCTCCCACATAACTGTTGTCTTCAGACGAATGGTACTTGCTATGAGTTCTAGAGCCTTGATTCCTCTTAGAACCCAAAGCGTGCTTAAAACTAGAGGAGATGGACTCTGGTTCATCCTCCTCTGACCCTTCCTCGCTTGACTCCTCTTCATTGGAGGAGCCCGATGTAAAACTGACCTCCTTGACGCTACTGGATGTAGATCCAGTTCGTCTCTGGGTGCAGGTGCTGTTTGTCTTACTGGAACTGGACAAAGCAGGTTCAACTGTGGAGGGTGACTCTGCCCCAGAATTGTCTGACTCGACTCGGCCCACTGAGATGTCTTCTTCTGTCTCTTGTGTGGTCTCAGTCTCTTTCTCTGACTCATCTGTCTCTGATTCTTTCCCACTGTCTGACTCTTTCTCAGTCTCTGACTCCTTCTCAGCTTCTGACTCTCTCTCAGTTTCTGTCTCTGTCTCAGAACCTTGGTCTGTATCCGACTGTTTATCTGTCTGTGACTCACCTTCAGAGTCATCTTCCTCAGCTTTTGAATGGCTCCCTTTGTCAGAGTCCTCAGACATTGCTTGTTCCTCATCTGAATCAAAACTACTCATATATGCCACTTCTTCGTGTCTGTTTGAATAACTCTGTGTGGTTGATATGGCACTGTTTTTTCCTGAGTAGGTTTCCCGAATAGCAGCTTCTTTGAAAAACTCTCTGTTGCGCCCAGTCTCTTGAGAATCGCTGGGGAAACTCTGTGACTCCCTCTCAGAATCACTAGTTGCCTGGGAAACAGAGGCCTTCCCCTCACTTGAGCTGTCTGTAATGTTGCTTGTGCTGTTTTGAGACTTTCTGCGAGTGCGTGGCTTTTTTGAGATGTTCATTCGACTGAGGATCTTCCCCAGGTGTGTCTTTGCTGAGGTCTTTCCTTCTTTATACTGGAAGTAGTTGCCATCAATGACCATGCCACTGTCCAAGCTATCGGAACGGTGGCCTTGAGTTAATTTAGGGGGTGCTGCACTCTCTGGCTTCTCCATCATCGGAAATATTCGGGCTTTCTTCCACGGAGTGTGGCGAGGTGCTGGTGGACCAGAGGACTTGCCTGTGGCAAGTAGTTTGCTAAGTTTCATCACTGCTTTGAGTTTGGTCACAGCCTTTGAGCTGTGAGGGGAAGCAGTGCCCTCTGCTGGCTTTGGTTGGGTCTGCTCTGGCCTGGGAGGCTGATCTTTAAGAACTGGTTTCGGAGGTCTGTGTGGAGCCAGCCTTCTACCATGCCTCGCAACCTGTTGCAGTCCATACTGCTATCATTTTGATTGTAAAGGGTTATCAGTATATCTACACATTTAACATTCAGTTACTTGCCACTTTACTAGGTAGCTTATATCCATTTTATCAGGTCCACTTACTTTGTAGTTCTACAATTACAGGTTGGAGTTCTTTTTGCTTCCCTGCATAATTTGTTAGAACACCTTAACCTTGTTTGTCAACTGTCAGGACCCCCAAACAATCACCACTGAGCAAGTATTATTTGAGTGGTGGATCATTATCAGCACTGCAGCAGACAGCAGCACGCTAGTGGCACAGAGTGGATCATATACAGCAGTTATTAAACAACTGTCACGTCTAGGCTGCACTGCAAAAATCAGAGCAAAATCTTTGCAGGTAAAATGATCTCATATCAGTGCAACGAAAGCCTTGTGAGTGTAAGATCATTTTGTTTAATTTAAGAACATAACAATTACATTAAGTAATTTATGGCAAAAAACAAGCACAAAGAGCCACTGATTAAGTCATTATGATTATTGTTTCAATAGTTATAATAATAAATCAGGTCTCCTCTTACAAAGCTTGGTAAGCAGACTTGGCTTATGATGGCTTAATTCTAGTATGAAGTGTAATAATTTGGATATCAAAACCAATCTTGTCTTACCAAGAGCCAAGAAATAGACTATTTTGTCCATGTTTCATATCATTGAGCATGAAAACAGAATCTTAGATGCACATTTCACATTTAAATGCTATATGTACATATTTTCTTGCTAGCTTTGAGATTTTTAACGTGATGCGATGATATATATTACTGCTTATTTCAAAAAAGGAGTTTTTTTTCTATCCAAATGTTTTTCTGCTAGAAATTAGCATTTACGCCTCAGTTTTGAATATATTTTTGTAGTTTTTGTGAATGGCTTGCAGTGTGTTGTCCGCCAAACAAAAATATCCAGTCGACAGCATCCTGCGGTCAGAAACACAAACTGTAAAACAACAGATGAGTTATTGGACAAACAAGGTAGGTCTGTCTAATAAAGTGGATGGTAAGTGTACACAGTGTTTAAAAACTCCAGAAACACTGCTGTGTCTGATCCACTCGTACCAACACAACACTCACTAACATACCATTACCATGTCAGTGCCGGTGCAGTGCTGAGAACGATCCACCACCCAAATAGTACCTTCTCTGTTGAGTTCGTAATAAATTATGCAGAGAAACAGATGGACTATAATCTGTAATTGCAGGATTACAAAGTACCCCTGTATGGTAAGTGGACCTGATAAATCTTCAATGAATGTAGATACAAGATGTAATAGGTGTAATAGGTGTACCTATTAAAGTGTCCGGTCAGTGTATGTCTATTGTACCTCTTAATATTTGCATGGAAAGAATAAAAAAGAACGCCAGCTACCTCTCCTTCTGATTCATGGGGACTGTAATAATAGCTGCCATCATCCTCCACGATCACCTCCCCATACTCATCATATGTCCCAGCTGGAGAGATTAGCTTCCTGCGACTGCCATACTGAGGCAATTCGTACCTGAAAGATAAAATCAGAGGAAACACTAAATACATTATGAGCACCTGCACAGTAACAGTGTCAAACATACCTGCTGGCATGCACACAAAAATAATGATTTTATATGTTCATCACCCTCTAGACACTGCAGCCCTTGACATTCAAGTTGTTAATTTGCAAACATGGCGCAATAACAGCTAAATAAATTAAAGAGAGCCATGAAAGAGAGCCATGTCTCCAGATGCTGATAATTATATTGGCTGTTTATGATCTCTATTTAGTTTAAAGCCCCCATATATTTTTCACTTACTTATCTTCTTGCCCTACAGCATCTCTATGATGCTTGCAGCAAACAAGCACTCACAATGTCCCCGTAACACTGGGTAAGCATGGCCACAACAGGCTTTGATTAAGGGCTCTGAGTACCCCTGGGGAGGATCAGGCTGTCTAAACTCAAACTCAGTTCAGATTAGTGGAGAGACCATCACGTCACTGGAGCAACAGACAGGATTTATTTATTGTAGCAACCACAAGGGGCAGTGTGAATTCAGTCTCCAGAGAGCTTTCCAGTGATAACGTGAAGGACACAAGGATTACTTTAATTAACTGTTCAGTTAAAGTCAAATTCAAACTAAAAGTAGGATTGGTAACACTTGCAATGCTCATCAGGCTACATGACGCATACATAATCCCTTCATGTCTATTGACATAAACCTACGTAAATATTAATAAAGGGTTATTCCAACAGGCACTGTCTGTCCTAAAGGCTGCTTCTGTCACCTTTGAAGTTGACTAGGATTGCTGCACCAATGTTTAAATCAAATTAAATGCTTATAAATACATTTTTCAAGAACTCAGCATAACAAAAACAAATAATTTCTACTGCATAACACACACATTCAAATATAGCATGTATTATCTATTTTATAGATTTTAAACTAGTTCTAGTTTCTAGTATAAAGTGTAATCATTTGGATATCAAAACCAATCTTGTCTTACCAAGAGCCAAGAAATAGACTATTTTGTCCATGTTTCATATCATTGAGCATGAAAACAGAATCCTAGATGCCTATTTTATAGATTTTAAACTAATATATAATGGATATATACTTTGAGACTGCAATACAGTGTAGCCCATAGGACCACTGCAGGCTGGATATTTTGGATTGAGGACTATTCTGGATTAGTTTGATATACAAGATGGCTCTTTTTTCTACATGCTCGTTCAATGTTTTATGTTTCTGCAGTCGTTCTTTACTCGTTGCAACTCAAAGGTAAAATACTGAGGGAGACATGCCAGTGTTTAGACAAAAGAGGGCTGGAATGCAACAAAGAACTGGATCAAGCTTTTTTTAGCCTGTACTTAATCCATTAACATATGCCAAGATCAGACATCCTTAAATTTAATAGCTCCAAATGCTTATTCAAGCTGTATTAGTTGTACCAGAGGAGGTCTAATAATGTAATTTGTGTGTGATTTGGATGGCTGGATATAAAGGATATATTATATGTATAATTTCCCCAAATTACCCCAAATAGCCCAGACTGAAACATCATCGCTTGGGACATTTACGTGAGAATTATGCAACAGGAGCCACACTTCCAAATAACAACATGTAGTTAAATGGCCTCCAAATACAGAGGCAAAAAAAAACCACAAAAAACAAAATGCAACACCGGGTGAGGGAGTAGACTTCACATCTTATTTCAATGTCAGGTGATGCCCATTTGAAAAGATGGTGCATAATCATATGTACTGAAGGGAATATACACCGAACTGTTGTGGATTTCAGTAGTCTAGTCATGAACTTGAGGATTACGGAAGTGGGTCAAATCGAACTCTATTTCAGCTGTTACCCTTGTCTTCAGGTTGCAAAAAAAAATAAAGAAAAAAAAGGGAAAAAATTGGAAGTGCCATTTCTATTACACAGTTTTGTTATTATATTACTGAGAAGTCGATACAAACAGGATTACTACTACTGAGGGAGTTCCAACTTCAGCATATCTTAGAAGGTAATTCACCCTGGAATTATTACTTAATTATTAGCAGACTTGTTAAAATTATTGACTTTGCAGATTCATATTGGATTAAAATTGCAGATCTTGTAGGTAATCAAATTATAGCACCTCCCAAGGTAAAACTAATCCATCTCAAATATGCCGTACCAGTGGGAAAACATTTTCATACATTTTATAACCTTAAGTTGACTTTTTACGACTTTTTAAAGATCTGCAGGAACCCTGTGAACATAACACCTATATCAGGTGACCAATTTTTTCAGACACTGGGTTGTGTCATGACACGTTATAACATGTTATAACCAATATTATTTTATTTTAGTGTATGTCACAGTGTTATAATGCTGACGATATTACATAGCTTAAATCTTTTAAATGCTTAAACAAACTTCATTTTACTTAAGGGCCGCAGAAAATGTATACTTTTGTTTAATCAACCTGACTTGGCAAGTTATATCATATTATCAGCATTATGTCACTGTTACATGCACTGAGCTACGAAGTCTCATTTAACACCAAAAAGTGTCGTGACATGAACTAACATCAGAAAAGACATCAATAACACCTGACATAATGTTATTTGAGCCTAATATTATTTCAACTTGACATCAAAGTTAGCAAATAAAACCTTTTGTGACAAATTAAGTATCCAGAAATGTTTATGCAGGTCAGTGTCATGTAGCCTTATGAACACTGCCCTACAGTAGATATTTACTTAATCAAAGCTATTGAGATCAGATCTTTGGGGTAATAGCGGCAAAAAGCTTACATCTTTAAACCTCAGTCTTTCAAGGATTCACTTCCAATGAAGAAATGCTCAGCCCTTAACTCACACCATACGATTCAGTCTCCATTTCCACTTTCTCTTCTGTGAGATGCCATATGGACAATTCTCACTGTACACGGCTCAGTGAATAATTAGCTTGGCTATTATAGTGGGAGAAAATGCCAGCGGCAGCTCACTGAGTCGGACGTAAAAAGATGGCACTAGTAATTCCTGGGTGAAATGGAGTGGGCTTAACAATAATATCAGCTCATGTACTCCAAGTACCATTCCAGGAGCACTTCAATTTGAGTTCCATTGCTTGGGGTGGCGTTTAAAAGCTGTGAAAAATGATTGTTTGGATGGGGCATGCTGTGAGGGTCCAAAGGCACGTGAGAGTGGATGGTCTGGTCCGAGCGTGCTGAACACACACTCACCCGTGGTCATAATTATAGTAATCCTGTGTATAATAGTCCTGGCCAGGGTCGATGCCAGACTCCATAGATAGTTCCTGTGGTCAGAGTAAGAGTCATTATTCAGAGAGTTCATAGAGTTCCTCAGAGAAGAATATATGAAAGTTAAGAGGCAGTCTCCGCTTAACATAAATGTAGAAATCTGTAAACCAGCTACACCAGCTGAACTTAAGTATGACTGTAAGTTAGGATTAAAAAAGTCCATCCTAAATAATAAGTTGATAGTCGTTAAAAACTGGCGATGTAGAATATTTTGGCTGCACCACAGACACTTAGTGTATCAATACAGTGCTGTTATGAACTGCTACAATATATACGTTTGCCCCACGTAACTAAGCTTCAACATAGCTTTGTTCTAAATTAAAATGTACACTTACCCTTTAGTAGCTGCAACATCCACTGTAAAAAATACTTTCACATGGTTGTTTGAGTTAAGAGATGGGAAAACTTAACGTAAACTTTTCTGTGTTCAGCAGATTTGCTATTTCTGTTGCTAATTTTGTGCTAAATTTGTGGCAAAACAGTCCCAGTTTGAACAAGGCCACATCCAGAATCCTAAACATTTTTCAAATGTATACTACTCTACAGCTAAAATGTAACACTAGCTGGCAAATAGAAAATACTACAGCTATAATTTGGCACTGAATGGCAGCTAATGATCCCTTTTCAGTATTACATATTTAGTTCAACTCTGGAATTAGACACTATTCAGCTATTGATGGGCATTTCAAGTAATTTTGTCATCGACTGAGTAAATAAAAGCATAGTCAAATTAACTTAAACCCTGGACAAATGAACAAATCTAAATGAACTGCGGTTTACAATAAAATGAGCTACTCAAAATATTCACTATCTTGTATTTGCACTTGATATGTGCTTGTTTTGCTTTGCTGCTTGGGGTTCTCAGTTGGTGGTGCTCAAACTGGGACTGTTTTGCCACAAATTTAACACCAAACTAGCACTGGAAGTAGTGAAGATGCTAATAATTATTAATCTGTTTAAATTTGCTAAACACAAATAAGTTTATATTCATTTTCCACATCTCTCAAATCAAACAGCCATATGAACATTATTACAGTGAATGCAGCTTCTAATAGACAGTGGTGTGAAATTCAGCTGCTACAACTGGCTACAACAAGGTAATGTTTCACTTCGAGGAGTCACAGGTACTCTTTATTTATTATTAGAAATGTTTTCTAAGTGGTGCCAAATGTCTAGTCCATTCAAGGTTGAACGACTGATATGTACGGTATATATCATACGCTCACTTTTATAAATGCTTTTATACAGCAATGCTTTCACGCTTTTGTAAACAAATGTATTCCACTTTATGAGACAAGCTGGTGTTTAGAAGCTTACATTATGATGTAGTACACTTTCAAAATCCTTTTAAAGTAATGTATTGTAGTATTGTTCATCTTTCTAACAGGATAAGAGAGATGTACCTCTGGTCTCAAAAGAGAAGGCCGAAGCAACTGCTGTTGCTACAGATGAAGCAAAAGGGAATCATTGCAGAAAAAAGAGGAAAGAAATAAGAGGTAAGAAATAAGAGGACAGAAATATTACACTTCATGAGCAAGGAAGAAATGACAAAGAAAAGGTCAGGCACAACTGTATAAAATATACAGGAGAAAAAAAAAGTTATTCAGTTGAAGACTGTGTTCAAAGAAACATCTTCATATTCGTGGCAAAGGCAGACTGATGTAATTCAAGGTCCTAAATTAAACCTATGACTAACAATAGGAAATTTATTGTCTCTAAAAGCAAAGATGGACAGATTGAACAGGAAAAACAAACAAATCCTGTCACTGGCAAAGTAACCAATAAAAAGGGTCCACAAAATAGAAGATGGGACATAATTTCAACGTAATTTCATTCAAAGGAATAAAAGTACATACCTCTTGATGTCCATATCCTCTCCTGTGAGGAGATAACAGTACATCAGTCAGATTATCAGGATAAACCACTTCCTGAAAACCATTTTTACGTTCTGTAGCTAAAACGCAAAGCTTATCTCTGAAGTGGTCTCCAATGTTTTGCAGATTTAAATTCATGAGATTGAGAATAGTTCCCAAAACGATGTTTCTTTATGTGGTGGAGATGAGAATGATGCTTGGATATAGAATAATGAAATGACTTTTTTCATGACTGCAAGCAGAGACTTTGAAAAATGTGGAAGAGATGGAAATAGGAAGTAATAAAGAGATGGAGGACAAAAAGACAGACACTCTGGTTGTCAAAAAGAGTTTACATTTAGAAGTTCAGACTCTGGTGCTGGAATTACAGGGAAAAAAGTCAAGGGTAAAATTTTCAAGGGTGTGAATTTGAGTATAAATGATTTCATTTGTGAAGTAATGGTTCAACGTGTACAAATGGATAAGTGGTCATTTCTGGCTTTTGAATGTCATTTGCAAGGTACACAGGGATCAGTGTTGATTATTTTGGTTTAGCCTACAATACTTTTTGAAAGTGCTGAAAGCCTTTTTTATGCCAGTTTAAGACCAATTCAGGGCCAAGGTTTTCAGCCAGCCTGATGGCTAAGCTGCATTCATTCTTTAAAGAAAGGCATAGCCTGCAGGCTTAAACCTGAGGTCTTTAAATTACCACTACTTCAGACTGAGAGTGAGAGAACAACATACCAGATCAGAGAACTGCCAGATCAGAGAAATAGCAATGCAAAGCAGTGTGCCTCTGCAAGGACACAGAGCAACTGTGTATTTGAGTGTAGGAAGAGATTTACACTTCCAGCAGCACCTCGCAAGTGCTCAGATTCCATGACCTCAACAAGAATGAGATCCACAACAGCACTCAGAGAGAAAGAACAAGGAAATGCATCTAACCGCTGAAGGCTGGAGAGGAGGAGGGGGGGGGTGAGAGGGGGAATAAGAGACAGAGAGCAGCATCTCTCTCAGCCTGCGAGGCCACTTCACACAAAGCACGGCAAATTAGAATTCCGTTCGGGCAGCTGATCACCGGGCGCAAATTACCGCAATTGTTCTCCGATGGGAGAGTAATGAGGAATTCAAATGAAGATTTATCGCTAAACAATAATCCATGACTTTCAGGGGACTTCTTTCTGGGAGTTCTGTCTCTGGTCACACCAAATGTGTGTGAAAGTGTCCATGGCCTAGCCCACATATCTGTGTATGGGCATCAGCATAAATCTTCTCCATTAGGTCGCACAAGGCAATTTCCCCTGCTAGGCTCTATTGGGTCTGCCTAGATGAAGTCTGCCATCATTGGTAATGCATGTATATACAGTTAACTATATGCCCAAAACTATACAGAATTACCTTTTAATTAGTGAATTTAGCTACTTTAAGGTGCATCTATTGAGTCTTGCAATTGAGTGTATAATCTCCATAGAAAAGCATTGCTGATAAAATGGGATGCTTTGGAAAATCAGCATATAAGCCTAAGGTCAATATGCTCAATGTATGGTCAGCTAGAGGGGTATTAAAGCTCTCCAACGTTGGGCTGTGCAGCAATGGAACTAGTTTATCTGGAGTGATGGAGTACTGCTGAAAACCTCAGGGATGAGTTGGGATGAGCAGTGTTTGTGATCCAGAACTAATCACTCAGCATCAGTAACTGACCTCACTAATGCTCTTGTAGCTGAATGTAATCAAATCCTTATAGCAAATGCTGCAACAGCTAGTGTAAAGCATCCCCAGAAGAGAAGAGGATGAACAAACTCCCTATTAACCTTTAAGGCTGATGCCAAAGCGTGGCTTTTTCTGCCATATAATCTGTTGCTCTACATTAATAACTTAATTTCTCAATGCTATGGATGCATTTATTTAATACGTAAAGATTGCAAAAACCAAAGCCAGGTAAATCCAAAATGTTTAAGAGATTTATATAATTTGTCTCACAAACTACCGTTTTGAACAGGAATTTAAGTCACATCAATCACATTTTTTTGTTACTCTGATTAAACAGTCCAATAATGAGTGGTTACCAGTTGGAGCTGCACTCTGAATAAGCTTTCATATTTGCTTGAAAAAAAAATCGTGCATCGTTTACGCAGGCATAGAAAACATGGTAGCACATAAAAAGTGCTAATTCCATTCCCTGATACGTTTCGCTGTGGCCAATGTCCACTGTAAACCCTCTGGCAGCAGATTTAAGTTAAAATGCCATTGCCAAATTCTCACAATGGATTGCTGGTGAGACATTCGGTTCAGAAGAGACACTGATTTCAGAAGAAATGTTGGATGAGCAGGTGTCTACAAACTTATATTAAAATATATATTATTAAAATATAGTGGCTATCTTCTCCAGCACTGATTCTGCACTTTGAATGTCCAGACAAGAAGACTGACCCTGTGGATGGTCTGTGGTAATGCTATAGGGACAGCATGGAAAAAGTACACATCAGAAACAACCTTATCTTTATTTTATAAGCCTATACGATGGCTTGAAAAAGTCGTGCTGCTCCATAAAATAATATAGCAGAACTTGATTACGAACAAAAGCTTTCCAAAGCTTGGTTCGGCTTATGCAGTACAATCCAGATAGAAACAGATGACTAAGCATATCCTCAGGTCATCATTGCTTTTGTTTGTCTTTACAGAGGTTCCCCATTGTTTTAAATGAAATAAAGATGTCTGCTGTTTGCTCCCTCATATTGCAAATATGTCATGATAGTAGTCCGAGCAATCTTATAGAAGAACAGTGCTGGAGAATATATAAAAAAAAAAAATCGAGATGGCGCAGGTGGGAGTAAACAATAACACATCAAAAGTGGACTGAATTTACCCCCCAAATAAAAGAATACTCTACAAGGAAACAAGAACACAATACAAAGAACATTTGAATGCCTCCCTTCCTAAATTATCTTTTCCAATATACTTTTCTGCAGCCTTTCAAAACATTTTACAACGCTCGAAAAAGGAAACACAATAACAGCGGATGATGACGCTGACGGAAGCTGGCGATAATCACCTGTGATGATGCAGGGCCCATCCTTTAATGGAGCGCTAATTAAAGTTGGGATTAAGGAGACGATGGCTGAATCAAATGCGCTGCGCTGCCGTTTGAAAGACGAGACAGGGGCTACGAGGCCAGATGCACATCCGTGATTGATTGGGCTCGTAATTAAAACCACCCGCATTCAGATTCGTCAAGCCGATTAGTACCTGTAACAGCTAAGGTGTGTGGAGTCATGGAGCATCATAGGCGTTTGACATTGAGATGGGTTCAGTTCACTTCTTTGTCTCTTCAGTGTGTGTTTTTTGCTCTGAACTGACATGTCTCTTGAGAGCCAACTCTTTCCTGTAACGGAGTCACAATATTCTGTAATGGGTGCACTTGAGAAATAAATTAAATGGAGAGCAGGATATTGTAAGTGACTGTCGTCTTCTGGAATACAACTTCAGCCGGAGGTCGCAACTCTCGCTTTCAAAATGGTGGGACGGTGTCTACCTTTTCCTTCTTGCCATCAAAGCAGAGAGAGTGTGAAGGTTTTCCGGCCTGTGTGTGAACCATATGACTTTGTTTTGAAGGCCTTTACATAATGCATGAGGCCGCAAACCTGTACAGGCTGTGCTAACACAAAAGAGAAAGTGAGCAGAGCGAGAGAGAAAGAGAAAGAGAAGATAGAAGGATTTGAGCATGCAGCGTACCCAGTGCAAAGCTTTATGGAGGACATTTATTCAGTGCAGCAAGACTAAAGTATAGTCCAATTTTCAGCAGGATGAGAATAACAAAAGTCCAATAGATGGTAAAATACACAATACGTTCAAAAGAAGCCTGACTCTCCTAATGCTCAGTGAATTCAGCTGCTTTAAGGTGCACCCATTATTGACACATGTTAATTGCACACACACATATAATTTTCATAGAAAAGCATTGTTAATAGAATGAGATGCTCTAAACCTTAGAGGAGCCTAATGCTAAGTGTCAGCTAGAGGGGAATAAACACCCATCCATCTCCAATGGGCTGCGAAGCAGTGGAACTGCATTCTCTGGAGTGATGGAACAACATTAGGTACTTTTGGGATGAGCTGCAGTGTGGTTCGTGATTCAGAACTTATCATCCAACAATGTGGCTGAATGCAATCAAATCCACATGGCACTGTTCCTCCAGCAAAGGGGGTCTGACTCCCTTTTAATACACTTTATTTCACACGAAACACTGGATGAGCAGGTGCCTACAAACTTTTGGACATATAGTGTACTTTTTATTATAAAACGGACTTAATAAGTTAGCAACTCACTCATTCAGCTTTCATGCACATTCAATAATCTAACTGCCTAATCTACTCTAAATCATAAAACACAAATACTCTAAATACTAAAACAGCTCTGCTTCTCTGAACTGATTAAATGTGTTGTATGTTCAAAAATGAAAGACATATTGAGCAAGAGATATGTGATTTGACAGTGATGTGAAAAGACAATGATAAAAATGATTTGAGTAAAAACAATACAACAAATATGAGGATATCAAATAAGTCACTGAGAGATGGAAAAGAGAAATGAGGACAGAAGACTGAGAGAGTTTTACAGGATAGTGGACTGAGATGGAAAGCGTTTCTCCAGCTCTTCCACAATGGAGTCCATGTTTGGGTCGCTGCGCTCTGCCTCCTGCATTGGTTCTACCTCCGGCTCGCCTGTCTCCGACTCCACTGTCACCTGTGGCTTCGGTGCCATCTTTGACAGCCGCTGCTTTTTGTCTATTTGACTGTACATGTTGGCAACGGATTTCTCTATGTCCGCTATGTTCTGTATGTTCTTTAGGATCCCCTTGAGTTCTTTCTTGGGAGGCTCAGGGTCGGCTGAGAGGGGTGGTGGTGGAGGGCGTAAGGACACCGGTCTTAGGGATGTCACTGAGGGCAAAGGAGGAAGGACAAATGCGGAGGCAATCTGAGAATGAGAGGAAGCAGGGGAGGAGGGAGGAGGTAGAGGAGGAGGGGGTGGAGGTTTGGGATGAGGTGGTGAGGGGAGAGAGTGAGGAGAGGGACTGGATGGGGGGGATGCGCAAGATGTAGAAGTCAGGGGTGGTGAAGTTGTTGGTGGTGGAGGTGCAGGTACATCAGGAGGATCTGGGATGATCTCCACATTAACCTCATAGGCCTCTTCCCCAATGTAGGCAGACAGGCTGCCATACTTGCGCAAGCCTGGCGGGGTAGGCTTGCGACTTGGGGGTGGCGTACCATCGCTCTGTGTGATTATAATGGCTGGAGGGCCACCATCCCTCCCTATTGCTATAGCAATGGACTGCGGTGCCTCGGATGCCGAGAGGAAGAAGTCTGAGGACAGGGAACCCCGGGAGTCACGGCCCTGCTTCTGCTTCATCTCCTGCAGGGCTTGTTGCTCGAACTGCCGTGCTTGCTCCTTGACTGTCAGCTTGGGCTCAGGTCCCTCACCTGCCAGGCTATCGAAGGCATCCAGATGCTCCTTGCTGTCCTTCAGCTCCATCTTCAGAAGCTGCAGCTCCCACTGCACAGGGTCCATCACCACCTGCCGGCTGCGTAGGCCCTCATTGGTCTCCCGCTTGCGAAGCCTGGAAGGCAATGTCCAAGAGTGGCCAGATCGACTGGATGGGAAGCGCAAGCTCTTCAGACCCTTGATGCCAGGTGAGTGCAAACCAAGCAAGTCCCGGCGCCACTGGGACTTTCCCAGATGCTCTGGGATGCTGACATTGCCGTCGTCATGGTATAGTGGGTTGGTGGTGGTCAGAGGGTTGTCATCAGACAAGAAGGTGATGTTGCTCTCGGATCGGGGCAGGTTGTTCAACAGGATGCCATTAGCTGTGGACTGTTTGTGTGCCGCAATGGCACGCGAGGCGAATGAACTGATGAGCCGCTGCCGATCACCCTCCTCCAAGACACACCTTTTATTCCTGTTCTCACCACAATGGCACAAGAAGACAGAGTTAGCTGTTTGAGGAAAGGAAGAGACTGGCAAGGATGGAGGGTGAATAGGTGGGAGAAACCAGCCACGCTGCTAAAGCTTCTATGCATCCATAACTTGCACTATATTACAACAGGGGGCATCCAGATCCACGAAATGTTGTATAACATATCCCGCTAAACCAACACCCAGTAAGTCCAATAACAGCAGAATATGATATATAGACTGCAGTGGTTTACTACTGTAGGTAAGAGAGGATGTATCGCATAATAAGCAGAAAAGGGACCACATCTACCAAACATACAGCAGCACTAGGCAGCAATCAGAGTGCTTTGGCAGCTAATGTTAGGAGCAATAAGGTGTACTTACTTAGGTCTGATATCCAGGATAGGAAAGACACGACGGAAAGAAAAGATGTAATACGAATGTTGAATGTTATTCAGAATGGTATGGAACATCCAGAGGATAATGACCATGGCAAAGATGTATGTACCTATGGTACTGCAAGCTATGTTCACAGGAAACAAGAACAACAGTGTTTCCAGTGACAGTGGTCGGTTTTGCAAAAATCTGCTTGTTTCAGACCTAGCCTTGCAGTATCTACGGTAACAGCAATGGATTACGGTCCAGCTTGAGGGAAGTCTATTGATTTTTCTTTTTTTCTTTTTTTTTTTAACGACCTACTGCCAACTTCAAATTAGGTTATGCAGGCCAAAGACTTATCGGTGTTTGTGCAAGACAAAACGGGGCAACAAAAAACAGAATGCAGACAAACAAAATTCTGTTAACATTCAGCATCCATTCAAGGTCTAAAACTACTTGACACAGTTACATTTAAAAATCAAAAAACTTTTAGACATTTCTATCCATTAATAATCCTAATTGCAGGCAATACCACCCTGCCAAAGAGCCACTCAGCAGCTTAACAACAAAATTAATTATACTTCACAACAGCTATTTTCATTTCAGCTATTCAATTACCTCAAACTGACATTCATTTCACACCATTTGTTTGGAAAGCAGTTAGAGTGTTTTAAGTTAACCATAATCTATAACACTGACATTTCATTTTAATTGGACTTAATTTTTTAACACAAGATTGTGTTTTCTTTGAATATGAAATCACATTATGTAAATGGAGGGCCATCTCCTAGACACTTACCTGGGCAGAACTGTATTAAAGTAGCACACAGCAGTGCGTGTTTGATAGTAGGGCTCCATTAAAATATGTTTAGAATTCTTCACTGAAGTTGAAGCCTTACAACTGAAATGAGTTACAAGACTTAATGCATATAATTATTGTGCTCTATCAGCAGTGATGTGTCAACATTTGTGCTTTTGTCAACAGGATCAAGTAAAGTAGACTAGGTTGTGTGAAGTGTAATGTTGAATGTATAGTACCATGCAAAAGTCATTTATTCATTTCCAGTCAAAATATCCATTACATGAAAGTAATTCACTTTCAGGAGAAAATTCTGAGGAGATAAGATATAAGATAATCTACTTGCATAAGGGTAAAGAACGTCCAAGGAAAATGAGTGAAAACACAGGAGTTCCAAAACTGGAGTTAAATAATTCAATTGTTACAGAAAAAAGAACATTTCAAACAAATCAAATCAAACAAAGAAGCTGCTGATGTTCTCAAAACAATGACCACCCTAGAGTCCAGATCTCAGATCACCGATTACTTGGAACATGAGAAGCAATACTGAACTTTGGAGGTGTGAAAAAATATCCCTGCAGATTTCTTTCAAAAACTGTCTCCCAAATAGAATGGAAACTGCAATAAAGGCAATGTGTGAACACTCTAAATACTGAAAAAAAACAGCTATTTTTAGTTACTGAGGTTTCTGTGTAATTGTCTGCTAAATACGTCTTCTGTTTTTTATACCTGAACCTAAAAAAAGAAAACTTGTACTTAATGGGACATTTTGACTGAAAATGAAATAAATTAATGGTGGTCTCTGCCTTTTACACAGTACTGTAGATTTAAACTGCTGCCGGGTTTAAAGTTGCTGATAAACACTGTTTTGTGTGATGCTGCGGAGCAGGTGTTAAACAGCTCTGGAACAAAATGTCATTGATTCTCGGGGTACCAGTTAATGTCATAAAAACTTACATGGTGCCATCGCCAAGTTCCTCATACAGATTGCTGGTTGCCACGCCGCCGGGTTTGCCAGCTGGGAGAGCCATTTGGATCCTGGCAGTTTTGGCACACTCAGCCTGTCGCCTTTAGTTGATGGATTCAACAAGTTGCACAAAGTTATGGCATCAGCTTATCTTCACAGTGGGGCCAATACATTATACATGCACTCATAAATAAATAACATAGGCTGCAGCCACAGTCTTAAAAACTGGTCTCCTGAGCATATTTCTTATTTATCCTCTTAGAGGGCAATATTTAGCAGGCAGGCTGATTATTTTGCGATGCTGAATTGATGTGGTGTAGTCTATAGTTGTGTTTTACGAGACGTCACCACACTTTCTGGTAATAAAAGAAGTAAAATAAAAAGTAAAAAAAAAAACATGCGTTAAAGCTATAATGTAAAGTTGGGTACTTACTCTTTAAATCTGCGGATAATGCAGTGTGGAAAAGAAGAAACAGAAAGATAATTTTGAAACAATCTCTTCAAAAGCATTATCATAAACACATTGAAAGAAAATAAAGCTCTTGGCACAGTCATATCATTCCAAAGCACAGCGCACGACTGCCGTATATTTTAGTGACACAGCTGCAGCAGGCCTCTGGTGATTTCCTCTCTTGTCCTTCCTGCAGTTATTATGTTTTATGCTGCTCACTCATAAAGACATGGCTCTTAGAGGAGGACCCTTATCTCCTCTGTTCCAACCTCTCCTGCTCCCTCTGATCGTTGCCCCTGTCATTCACATTCTCTGTACGAAGTGAAATCTCCCCTTTACTGCAACAGCCAGCCTCTCTGGTTTGTCTCCAGTGGCAGTAATTAATCTGCTTTTACGCTGAATAAACAGAAGATCAGGCCAAGGTGTTACCATGGTGAATTGGAGAGAAGGGTCCATACAAGCCTTACACTAAGGGTTCTAATTCCGGCTGAATGCGGTGCCACTGGTTGCAAAGTTAAGCGAAATATTTCTATCCATGCAACTCACCACTAATTTTTCCTTACTAGGCAGTATTTTCTAGCCACTGGGAAATCACCACAGGGATGATCTCAGTAGGTGAATTGCTAGGTAGTTGTTATTATTATCATAATTCAGCAGCTGTCAAAGTCCCTAACCAGATCTGATGCCATTATTAAATAGAGCAACAGTACACACACCAAATTTTTACAAGCGCTACAACCTCTACCTTGTTTATCAATAACTGAAACTGCCTTTACTATCCTATAATTCAGTAATTTGTTGTAACATCACATTAGAAATGTTTGTAGTGATCTGCCATTAGTATCTGCCAACTGTTTTCAAGCATAACCACTGAACTGGTGAAAAGTCATTATTAGGTAATATTACAAATGTTTATAAGCCTGTTTTTTTTTATTTTCAAATGATTCTGAGAAAAAAAGTTGCAAAATACAATTTGTTCATTGTGCTTGGTCAAATGCCTTTGACCCAGTTATCAAGTAGGGCTACTATGAATTCTTGAATTCACTACATAACATTGGCATAACCAATGCAATAAATATGCCGTCACCCATGCCATACGCTAACGTAAGTTGTTATCAAAAGTTTATGTCCAAAATGACTAATTATATTAGTTATAGCAGTATTATAATAAACTATTGCCAGTTTTTCATGTATGACGCCTAACTAGAATAGATAGCAAAATTAGCATGTGACATAAGCTGTCATGACATTAAACACTATAGCATCTGGCATGACAGTTACTGGTAACAGTAACTTGACACTTTATATATATATCTCTGAACAAAACCTGTCATGACATGTTTAAGGTCTAGTTATGTCAATGTTATGTAGCAGGGTTCAAATAAAGTGTTACCGCAAGGATCACTTGCATAGGAAGTACTTACTGTCGGTAGGTGACAATGACGATAAGGATCGCAGGGATGCAGCAGATAATGATAATGATGGCCAAGGCCAGCAGGGCTCCCTCAGTGTAGCCCACCGACTGCACGGCCTTCTTCACATTCTGCACCACATCGGGTGTTCGAATCTCCAGGATGCGGCCACCCCTGCCCAGGTAGGGCTGGAACTCCTTGTTAATGTCCAGTAACTTCCCATCCAGAAACCTAGTATAGCAAGAAAACAACAAACAAAACTGATCTCCATTGTAGCTGTAAAGAAACTGCAAGGTGCTGGATTGGACAGCGTCAGAAGGGGAGGTCTGTCAGGACGCTGAGACTACATCTCATTTGGAGGCTGCTATTGTTAAGAAGCCGGCGTAAGCCATAGCGAAGTTGGAGTCAGAGCCAGCTAATTACTGTGACAAGTGAGACATTCTTGTTATGGATTAAGTCAAAAGTCTCATTACATAAAGCATTTGCATGAGAAAACATCCCAGGCCTGAAATCACACTCTTCGAGACAACAGCCACGGCATTGTGCTCATTCAACAAAGCACAAACCATAGATGCAACAATGTGCGCATAAGTTGTTCGCGTAAATATTCAGAGTTTGGAGGCAATGCAGTGTGGAGGCAATAAAAAATGCCCGTAATGTGCCTATTATGAAGTTTTGTGGCGTAGCTTTAAAGAGAAAAGCTCCATGGTAACAGCACCTCTGGAAGTAATGATGTAGTTAGGTGAGGGTGTGAAGGTTGGGGGTAGGGGTAGGTCTTCAGGGAGCTTTCAACTTCACTGCCTGTCAGTAAGTTGAATGGCATAATTGGGGCTGCTGTCACGATAGGCTATGACTACGCTCACGCTGCAAACAGCGCCCAAGCAATGTTGGAAACAAACGACAACCTCCGACCTGCTGCGGCTGGAAATAGAGGTCAAGCGGAAGGTCAGGCCAAATGAACGCTTGGTGGAGAAGGAGGGCAGGTTAAACAAGATAAGGCTGTAAAGAGAAAGGGGCTCACTTGAACAGTTCCTGTCTGGAGAGGGCCCTGTTGGTCAGGGGGTCAATGGCGTACACCATGAGGTCAGATTTGGTATAGTCTTCCTGCTCGTAGGTGTCTCCGTATCGCCGTGGCCCAATGGACTCTACCACCACTTTGGCACCTGGAATCTGGTCCTGCACATAACGCTCTAGAATCCTGTAGAGAGAGAGAGAGAGAGAGGAATGCAGAATAAATCACTGGCTGCCAGTTCTTCACCCTACTCTGATCCAGACCTGACCCACAGCACCAGGTTTTAAGTCTGAACCCAACCAAAGCCAGACAAGATTTTGCCTGAACCCAACCTGACCTGAACCACAATCACATTTATGTTTAAAATTGACCTGAATCAGCCCAGTGACCCAAAGTGCATAAAAGACCTGATGGGGAGTTACCAGCTAGGAGCATTAACAAGACTTTTCTTCTTCTAACATCTCAATCTTTTTGAAAACAATAAATTCTTTTTACTTTTTATTGCATAAATGTTTGTTTAATTTTATACCAAACAAAGTTTGCCTTTTGCACAGTACTGTATATATAATGCATAATTTAAGAAGAAAGAGCTGTCCAAAATAAAGTTTGAATTCTGCTTAAATGAATTTATTCATCAAACAATGCTTTCAAACAACACCCAAAACATTTTTAGTCTGGATAAGCTCTCAACAATATGCTGTTCTTATGCTGTGTGGTGCAAGACGTTCACCTTTACCTGTTTAATCCTTTCTATTTCTTTACACAGAACATGTTACACAGGGTTGGCGTGTAAGAGTATTTATTATTTGGAGTATTATTTGGAGTATGTATTCACAATACAGAAATTAAGTATCTATATAAAGTAATTTTGTAAAGTCAGTATTCAAAATATAGTTACCTTTTAATTTTTTGAGAGACTTTTATAATACTTGCCCACTAATATAAAAAAGTTTAACATCTTTAAAAGAAACACCATCAATGCTTGTTTATGAACTATATTAAAATCAGAACATGCCATGTACAGACGTCCTTTAAAGAAAAACACCTTCTTTACAAACACTGAAGTTCCTGCTAAAGCCTGAGTAGACTATTTATTAACTTCAGCATTATGAAACTCCTTTGAGGGATGTTGGAACTCCACTATTCCTCAGTAGTGGACATGTTCACAAGTGATAAGCTTAGCATCAGTGTTGTACGGACAGTTTGTGGCAAGTTACACGTGTACAATCACATAGCTGCCCATTTTATAGTCAAATTTGCCAGATTTTGTTTTTGCGATATGGCAAATCACTGTATTAAGCGGTACTAGCTGTTTGATTTCCCATGCATCCATACTCTTAGTGTGGGCCTTGGTACTAAATTCTGTCTACAACATGAATTCAGTATGCCAGATTAAAAAAATGTTTAAAGGTAATTAAAGTAAAGAGAAAAACAGCACAAGAAGAAAAACTAAAATGGGAAATGAGAAATTTGAACCCAACCCAAGTTTGACACATACTGGGGAAACCTGACCTGACATGAAAAGTCAAGTACCATCAAGTTCAACCAAATACTTCAAAGCTATAATACCTGCCCCAAATCATGATGACCTTGATAATTAGCTGATGAGCTGGCTCTGGTTTGTTGGGTCCCTAGGACACCAATACAACACAAATATGACACATCTATGTATCTAGAGAACTATACCACCCCAGACTTTATTCCCAACTTCAATCTGTAGGTCTCCAGTGAAAAAAAAGTCCGAAGCATTCATTGTGAACATCACACATGTACCTTGGAATAGGTGGTAATGATTAAGGCCTGCATCATCAGAACGCAAAGGACAAAGTGTTAATTACCACAATCACCGAGCATGGCAATCAGAGACAGACACAGCGACAATTACACCACCTAAAAATACCTCAATCCTCTGGGTCAATCGCACACCTTCACTAAAAATAACACCACCATTTGTGGAGCTCCATGAAGCCAAGGTGGTTAGGAGCTGAGTGGAGACGAGATGAGCCAAGAGAGCAATACGGAGACCGAAAGGAAGGCTGAGAAGAAGTGAATGAGACAATATCCGCGCCTAGGTCTCTGTCTCCTGGTGTGTGTCTGCTCTAGCTTTGGGCTATCATCTCCAAGCAGGCAGCCCTACTCAGCCAATTACCTGCTGAGCTGCAGATGGTTCCCTGACCATGGCTGGATGGATGGATATGTAGTTGTGTATGTGTGTGTATGGAGTGGGGTGGGGGCTCCGGATGTTTCACAGCCAAGGCTGGGTTGAGGTGTGTTTGTGTGGGGTGTAATGGGATGTAGACTGGATCAATAGATTTCCTCTGGTGAGGACAGCAAGTTGGCACCCAGCTGAGGAACACAGCCTTGAAAGAATGGAAGACGAATCTCGGGACTGAGACATGCCAAGTCAGCCCAAAGACAGTCTATCAAATGAGCACTGCACTTCTCTCTGACGTTATATGTTCTAATATTTAAAAAAACAAGAGACATCTGAACTTTATATTCCACCAGAGGGCAGTGAAGAGCCTGCGTCTTACATTTTGGTCACAGTTTCTTACCTTATTAATCCAAAGAAGAATGCTTTGAAAGACTACTGCAGCTGTCTAAAGGTTACACCACACTGGACGATACATCACACCTTGCAGTAGGTAGTACAATACGCAGCTACACCACATTCAGGACACACTACAGAAAAGCACGAAAAAAGCATCAAGCCTGAGTTCATTTTGCGCTGTACTCATAAAGCATTAATGAAATAAAACTTAAACGTTATTTAGCGAATTGATGATATTATTATCACATTTTCAAGCTAAAAGGTACAATGTGAAAGTTACAATATGTCTAGGCTAGGAATGTTAGCAGAAGTAAAGACAGACGATTGGCATTTGTCTGACTGCCTTTCTTGGTGTAAACTTCAAGTCATGTGTCAGTTATTATAGATTTGTGGTCCGGATCCAGATCTAATATAGTACTGCAATAGAAAGATGCTGAGCGGTATATTGTGTGTGGCAGCCTGTAGCTAAGACTAGGGCTGGTCTGGACAGAATTTCACAGGCTTTGAATACTTGTTGGTATTTGCAAACAAGTACCTGAATACTTTTTCTAAAAATCACCCTTAGAAACAATAAATGTATGTTCGTTACTGCAGTTCAAAATATATGTGGACCATTCTACCAAATTAGTTCAAACTGCAGTTCCATTGTAAAAAAACTATTTAGAACATTAACATAACATTATATAACATTATACTACATATGGTGCGTGAGCATCCTTCAGACGGACTATTCATACATCATTGCCACCTAATATTTACTTAACATTTACTTCAAAACTGCTCACCATGTGGCCATGAGGGAGAGGAAATGGTCTTACTTTCTGCTCTAAAATGCAGGGGTGTGGCCAAAACAACGCTCTGCCTAAAACCCATTTTGTTTTGGGAATGCCATGAAAACATGGACTGTATTTTTATTTAAAAATTTAAATCATAAATCTAAATCTCTGAACTTCACTTTAAAGAAAACAAAAAGAGAAAAAGTACGCAAAAAAATGTAAGTATTATTTTCACAAGTTGAAATTTAGGGGTTATGGTTCGGGACAGATACCTCCCAATAGAAAGTATCCTATCCTATCATAATTGATGATTTTGTATATAATTATCTCATTACTATCTCCATTAATGTATTGTGTTTAAATTGATTATAACATAAACCATGTAAATATCTAAGGTCTGAATACTTAATCGTTTTTAAATCGGTTTTAACAGCTTGACCGCAGTTTAAACTAATTTGGTAGAATGTTCTATATAGTGCTAGAACATACGGTAGCATCCAGAAAACTCCAATTCCACATATTGACACATTATTACTAAGGCCAATGTGGACATTCACACAGTTAAAGTGGACAAAGCCAAAGTGTGAATGTATCACCTACACTATGTCAGATATGATGGTGTTAATCAAAGCTTTTAGATCAAAAGGACTTTAAAATTATGGAATATATACACTGAGTCAAGTGTGCTCAAACCCGGTGCTGTATCTCCCTGGCACTTCTCCAGAGCACCTCGCCTCAACCCATTTCGGACAACTGCCAAACCTGAAAACATACTGATCACGTTCCAGGGGTGCTAAGTGCTTAGCCTGTAGCCATTAGCAGAACAGACAGTTTCCCCCCGACTGTTCTCTTTGAACCCGGCAGCCGGCTTTTTGCACTCTTCTTCAGGCGGCCGGCCCGCAGCAGGAGGCCTGATAGAATCAAACGGCTCACTGATTCATTCTTCCGTGCACCACACCCACACACCCTGAGGGTCCAGAGCGCTCCCACTCCTTTATTTTCATATTACAACTTCAATCTGCCCTTGGCTGACTGAAACGACTTCATTTGAGGGAGGGTAATAACTCAAGCCATTTATCTTTGTCTGGGTGATTGGTGTTGGGGGGGGTGGGGAAGTGGAAAGTGTCATTACCCAATCAGCTGCTCCTTATTCTGCTCCACCACAGTGGGGGGCACGTTGGACACGACCACCTGCATGTCCAGCTGGTTGACCACAGACACCTGGGAAGTGAAATGAAAGGTAAATTGCTTAATTAATTGAATTTATTTGCATGACAGGACATACTGTGAACTGGCCATCAAAAGTTTTGGGAGACCTTGGCTTTCTTTAAAATTTGAATTTTCTTGCGGCTGTTTTTTAATTAAATTGGATTCAATCACTAAGATGTAAACACAGTGTGGCTTGATACAAAAAACTTACTAAGTCAGAATTGTTCACAGTGGGGGTGACAGGAACCAGAAGTCTGAAGCATTTACTGCCTCTAAAAGCTACCAATTCTAACCATCAAATGGTTAGAAATATGTTGTCTGACGCCTGAAACGTTGTTTTACAATGCAAAAAGAAATCTTAATAAGCCAAAACAAATCTTAACAAACAACAACAAACCTTGCTTTTTTATTGAAAGAACAGACTAGAATTTTATAAATGAGATTAATCAGCTAGGTTTTACAAACTTTATCTACAATTATCTTACACAGATAAGTTAACTTCTTTTAAAAGAAATAAAAGAAATAAAGTAATTTTGATTATTCTCCTACATACAAATCTAGTGTAGTGTAGATCTTTTGTTCATTTTCAAGACTTTTTGGCTTGTTAAGTTTTCAGTGTCACCACATGAACAGCTGAATTATTTGAGTGTTCATCTTTCTGGAGTTATAAAGCAGTTTTGTAATTATTAAATGTGTGGCATTTTTAATATTTTCTGCATCATTATGAAAAGTATTTTCAGGAATGTTTTTTATTTTAAGCATTACAGTGTTGATTTAGGGGGTGTTTATACTTGTAGTTTGGTTCCCTTAGAAGAAATGATACATTTTTCCTGGCAGGAAATGATACATTGCTGCATTTTATTTCTGGTTTGTTTAGCGTTCACACTGACATATTTACCAAAAGATGTAAACAAAAGTCATGCAAGTAAAAGGTCACAGCTGATTGGAAAGATTTTATGATGTACAATAACTGTGATAATGCTCACTGAACTTTCCGAATCATGCTGTTCTCTGTTCTATCTGGGCTCGTTGGTTTTATTTATGTCTTGGTTTATCTGTTTTGTGATATTAGAGCAATAAGCCATGAGACTTCCTGCATTACTGTGGTTTTGCACAACACAGTCCTGGAAGATAGTTGGGGCAGTTGTGGGCTGGAGGTTAGGGAACCAGCCTGGTGACCGGAAGGTTGCCGGTTCGATCCCTTCAGCTGACAGTACGTGACTGAAGTACCCTTGAGCAAGGCACCTAACCCCTGGGCGCCGTGGACAGGGCTGCCCACTGCTCTGGGCAAGTGTGCTCACTGCCCCCTAGTGTGTATGCGGTGTTTCACTGCACGGATGGGTTAAATGCGGAGGTCTAATTCCGATGTGTTCAGACACAGTTGGCTAAAGGTTCATTTCATTTAATTGATTTCACAAACAGAGTGAAGTCCCTCTAACACAGCCTCAAGTGACTTACTGCTTTTACAAAACAGAGAAACTTTGGTGCCTTAAAAAATAATATAATCTATGTGTGCAATCAAATGTGTGTATTGAGTATTTTATAATGGCTTCGAACCTGTGTCAGCGTTGATTTAAAACCGAAACTATCCGTTCTGATTTAGAGCCCATGAAGAGATGACTAAAAATGCATGTGTCAAATCAGCATCAGAAACCTGTCTTTTCTGTGTATCAAAGAAGTTCTGCAGAGAGGAGACAAATGGGTTATTCTGTCTTTGGTCTGTACTGCATTCATACTTCAAATGAATCGCACCAGAGCCCGACCTGCTCCGAGGGTCTTGCTTTGCTTATTTGGAGTTTGGATGGCTTTGTTCTTACACGCAAGGGTTTGTTTTAATCAAACCAAACCTGTCAAACCTGAACGAAGACAAAGTTTATGTGAGTTGTCATTCAAAGCTTATGCAGATGTACCTCTATGAAGTGTTATCAAGTGGCCATGATTGTGTTGTAGACATTGTGAACTCCTACCACCACTGTAAAGAAATCTGAGTCAGCAAGTTTCCTTACAAAGAAGTACGTCACATCAAACTACTCTGAATGACTGTTTAAATCTTAACGACTGAATAATACAAAATTGGTGAAATTCCCCTTTAAGCATTTTGAAAAGCTAGTACATTACAGTATAGTAATCTGAATAATGCAATATAAATGACTTCTGAAGCTTGCTAGTACACTTTCATCATGTATTCTGACTACACTGTAAATATAAACGACCCTGAAACATGACTGACTCTTTTATGGCCCACTCTTCTCTCCATTTATGTCTGTTCATTTAATGGCTGCTAATTTAGGTGGCGCGACAAGCCATAAGGGAAATGTTTGTTGTGTGTCGCTTATACGGCTTCAATTCAGCTTAAATAAAGTGTGTATCCTCTCGTCTAGCACAGAGTCCAACTGTCTTCGCTCTTTTGCTCCATTAAGCAGCAGTTAGTAGAACTGGTTGCTCAATGCCTTAGTGTTTAATCGACCATCCACATTCGCCCACAGGACTTTCCGACTGGCATCAGCCAGATGCCTGCTGGTGGCCAGTTAAGAAATGCACATTCATTTAAAATCACAAGCCAGAGAACTGGCACTGGACACTGAGCTTGAGTAGGAGATTGATTTGTGGGGTTCAAATGATATCGGGAACATTTAGCTCTCAAAATCAATGATACTCGCTCATTAGAGCTGGACAGTTTTCAAGACAGCATGTGTGCAGGACATTTTTTAGGACTAAGCACTCTTCTTAGATGAGAAGGTGGCTCTTCAAAGAATATGTGACGAATGTCTAGTCTTTCAGAAAAAAATTAAAGCGATAGCTCAGGAAAAAAAAGACCTGTACAATTTCCATCTTACCCCAAATATTGCTACATGAATGACATTCTGCTATAAAAATGGACAAAAGTAAAGACTAAATTCAAAATTCTGAGTTGTCTGTGACTACCGTTTGTAGCTGTACTACAGTCGAATACAAAAGTTTGGATGTCTGTGGTCAAACTACATGTTTTGTTGATTTTGTAAGTGAAAATAAGTTGACATATCATCTACACAGCACACACTTCTGCAAATTTTAATCACACTATTTCAATTTATTTGCTGACTTTAACATACTGGGGATTTTTTTTTCCCAATATGTTAACATCAGCAAATAAATTAATAATTGTGTGATAAAATTTGCAGAACAATGCCGAAGTTCCCTGAAGAGGATGTGTTCACTTATTTTTTATTTAGAAAATCAACAAAACATACTTTGACTGGGGGTGCTAAAACTTTTGCATATGACTGTATGTCCCTTTTTCTATTTGTACAGATAACAGTGTTATGCAGTATGAAAAACCTCATAAGCAAGTCTATTTGAAAAGGCCAGAACTTGAGGTTTGAGTGCAAGTTTGCAATGATTTAGTTCACAGAATGCTAATTGGTGGCCAATAGCTTCCATTACTTTTTAGTTATGTTAGCCTTGTAGCTGCAGTGCAAGACCTCTTGCATTTCATCGCTATCAAACAAACACGTGTTTGTTGATTATTTTGATTAGTTTTGAGAGTTTTGCATAGTAAATGTTAACATTAGAAATAGAAGCTCTTAAACACTGTAGTAATGAAAGACTGTCATGTTGGTTAGCTTACATAGGGATTCAGTAAAACATCTTTTGGTAAATATGTCAGTGTGAACGCTAAACAAACCAGAAATAAAATGCAGCAATGTATCATTTCCTGCATTGGTCCAGACCGAGGGAGCCAAACTCTAAGTATAAACACACCCTTAAATCAACACTGTAATGTTTAAAATAAAAAACATTCCTGAAAATACTTTTCATAACGATGCAGGAAATTATTTTTTGATGGCTATTCTAGCTTCAAACTGTAAGGCTGCCTTTACACGGTGAAACTTTCATGCGACTAGATGCACATTCTGAGTTGCTGGTAACATAATTTCTGGGCAACCTGACAGTTACACAAAGCAATTCAAAAACAATCAAGTTTCATCAAACACATACCATTTACTAGTTTTAACATTTACTAAACAAAGTAGTAGCTCACATTTTTTGATACACTGTATTGTTTTTGTTGTAAAGTCACCCGCAACCTATTATTTACATATTTATAGCATTTTTTTCATCTTCGTCTTCGTCAACTGTCACTGCCTTTTTTCTATATCTATAATCGCCACTTATCTACTGAGGGTCTTTACTATATATTGGAGTTTTTTATCTATCCTGTGCATGATAAGCCTTTGAAAATGAATGCTTGAGTAGCTATGTCTCTGTCACCTCTTCGGTAGTAATTTTTGTCCTTTGTATTCCAAATAAATTTGAGCTCTGTAAAATTAGATGGTATCAAAAGGTATTGTATGGTATTAATTTAGCTGTTGATCAGGTTAACAGCATGCTAAGCAGAATAACTGGTGGCACAAGCAGCCGTTAAAATAGCTGTTAGTGTTAGCTGTCTAGCCAATGCAGTTGGTTACAGAAATGTTCATTTTGAGGTCTCCTTTATAACCATCTTCTGTTTTAATATTTTGTCTACTGATCCAGTGAAATCAATGGTTTAAAACTAAATGGTTTGTTCAATGTGATCACAACTTGATAAGCTTGCAACTATTGCAGTTGAGTTGCAAATGAGTTGCAGAACTCTATACATTATGTAACATAAGTGCAATTTAGATTTATGTTGGTTTCTAGCAAACAAAGTTGCATGTAAGTTTCACCATGTGAAGCCAGCCTAAAGCACACCGAATATATTTTCGTTCTCCTGGTCATAAAGATGGCTGCACAGTCATACGATAATGCCACATGAGACAGATTAAATGGTCCATTCACCATGAAATGTTTACAAAATGTAAAGCCCAGCTGCTGTGCTCAAATCATGTAAAAATAGTCAAATGGAAAAAAATGGAGCTACATGGTATTAAGTGCAATTTTAAAACTAGGCTTAATCTGGGCAGAAAAGTTGCTCACTTACAACTACAGGTCAGGTATCAGGTACAAATCAGGTATTCAAGGAAATTAAATTAAATTCACTCACCACCACCTGCGCACTGCTGCTCAGACCCTCTCCGTAGTTGTCTGTGGCAATGACGTCGAATCTGAAGTAGGAGCGGCGCATGTTCCTATACATGATAGCCGTTTTAATGACCCCTGTGTATGGCTCGATGACAAAGCTGTCCTTTCCATCTGCTGTTGGGGGGATGATGAGGTGGTACTGCATGACACTGTAATTCCCTGTGTCTTTGTCCACAGCCTGCAAAACACACAGTCACTCATATACACTACCATTCGAAAGCTTGGAGTCACTGTTCACCTTAATAATTTTTATTATTTTATGTACAATAATAACTCAAATTCAGAGTGTCTCTGGATATTAATTTTGATACCACTTTATTCTCATTGTTACACATTGTTGTCATTTTAGGGTGCATTCAGACTTCAAATGAACCCTGGTGTGAATGTTCGGTTCGTTAGACCCCAAGTGAGAGCGCTGCCAACTGAACTCTGGTGTGCACCAAATAAACGAACCGAGACCCCCTGAGCAGGCAAGTCTCAGTTCGCTTCAAAAAAAATTCTGGTGGTTCTTTTGAAGTATGAACACATAACAGACCAAGGATGTCTAAACATACCAAAGACAGAATGAAATGCCGCCTCCTCCTTGAATAACTTCTTTGCTATGTGGAAAAGAGTCTCCGATGCTGTTTTGTGCATTTCTTTTATCATCTCTTAAGCTGTGAATTAGCAATTATAGAACGGATAGTATCGGTTTTAAAATGAGGCTGGGGCATGTCTAAAGTCATTATAAAATTCTCAATATACACATTTGACTGCACACAGAAATTATATTATGTATTAAGGCACCAAGGTTTCTCCATTTTGTAAAAGCAGTAAGCCACTCAAGGCTTAGAGGGACTTCACTCTGGTTTGTGTCACGCAAAACTGGCTCATTGCTCTAATATCATAAGACAGCTAAAACAAGACATACATAAAATCAACAAGCCCGAACAGAACAGAGAACAGCATGATTTAGAAAGTTTGGTGGACACTGTTATATCCAGTGTAAGTCAATTCTATGACTTTTGTTCATACCTTTTGGTTCGGTGTTAAACCTTTTAAAACAGACCAAACAAAAGACACTTCCACACCAAACATGGCAGACGTAAAAGTGCCCTTAAAGGGTACATTAACGAAGCAGACTTCTGGGGGAAAACAATTAGAAAGGATGTAGCATATGGGCCTTTTAAACGTGGACCCACATTATGAGGAGGTTTTTCTACTTCTTAATTTTAACTGCCATCATCCTGAAGGTGCCCAAGGATCCCAAGGTGACGTGTCCTGTGAGATGATGCCACACTGAGACATGATTTTACTATTGCAGAGAGGCCTGCAGGCACAAGTTGGCGGCGGGGAACTTTTGATTGACGCAGCGGTGCAGGTCTGAGTAGGCAAAAGTCTGGTGAAATTAAATTAGCGACTGCACAAAGCAAAGTCTGTCTGTCTCTCTTTATATCACTCTTTTGGCCCATTCCTACACTGGATGTAGCACAGGGGACAACAAAAGGCATCAAGAGGGCTTGTTTCAGGCAGGCTTGTCTTCTCTCAAGAGTAGTGGTTCGCATCAATGCAAATTAGCAGAGAGCTGAAGAACAATGTGTCTGCTCTACGAACAATGCATTCTGTTTTACAGCCTGAATAATCGTCCTGCGGAAATACACACGTTCCTTTTTATCTCCATCTCCTTTTTCAGAATTGATGGACCAAGCATTAGCTTCCTCCCCAAATAAAAAAAGCTATTTAAAGAAGGATTCAAAAGTAGATTAGTGTAATCTATGGGCTGCCCAGCTGCTTGAGCAAAAATCTACTGCAACAGTCGCCACCAGTCCCCTGCTACTAGGTCTGTCCACGTCTGAGAGATGCTGACCTCTTTCTGACCTCTCTGACCACATTAAAACTAAAAAAAAAAACACTTCCATCTGTGCAAATGAAATCTGATAACTAAAGACTGTAATTAGGTTTATAGCCTACATATACAGCCTTTACATTCACATTTGGCATTCATCTGCTTATTCTGGAATACTGAGCAATAGCTCCCACTCTCACACCTCCCTGAAGTTATTTTTAATTGAGACGGTTGACAGGATGACATCAATAGCACTTGAAGATTAAAAGCCAAGACAAACACTCTAAGTAGGGGTGACATGTCTTGATACATATTCCAAGTTGCAATGTATCAGGAACTGAATGGCTCATCCGACTGAGGTTGACATGGATAACCATCATTTGCTGAACAACATTTCTTTAGAGAAGAGTTTGGCCTTTGATTGAATTTAAATGTTCATCCCATCTCACTGTCAATTCAACTAGGCTCTAAATCACAACGCTTCCAGATTGTAACATCTGATGTGGAATAGTGCAATGGCACTGCAGGAAGGATATAATCATTTTTTGGCACAGTTCGAATCTTGTGCTGGCTTTATGACTCATTTATTTCACATTTACTTGACAGGCCCTTTCAAGAAGTACCAGAATCAGTCTTCATTTTCAATGCAAATGTGTTATGAGCCTTTTCAGACTTTCTTTATGGCCTTTGTGATCAGGAAAATTAAGGCCGCCCACATACCACAACAACCAGAACACATAGAGGTTGAAGAGCTCATATTTCAGTAAAATTTAACCTTGCTGTCTCCTCGGCTTTCCTAACCAGCCAAAACCAAACCAAGACATATCTCAAAATTAGCCAAAGTCAATGACACTAAATCCCTTTTGCCACTACATTCTACCATCTTCTTCTTCCTACACAACAGTTACCTTAGAAAACTGCATCTACTTCAGTTTTGGCAGCTTTAATAATGGGACCAGTGGCTTCTAAGATCACAGTAATGTTCCACTCAGCATTGATCAAAAACATGTCCTCTGCAGTTGGATGCAACAACAGCTGGAAGAAAGACAAAAACCTCACATTAAGCTAAATGATATGACACTATTGATTACCAGTAAAGGATTATTAAACTGAATGGAAACACTGCCAAACCAAATCATACCGATCAACACAACTGGCAACACAAATCCACACAGTTCACTGGCTAATTTAACCTACACTATATGGTCAAAAGTATGTTGACACCCCTCCTAATTATTGAAGTTGAGGTGCTTCAGGCACAATCATTACTAACAGGTGTACAAAATCAAGCACATAGTCATAGTCACAGTTCAGTGACTTTAAACATGGACCTGTCATGCCTTGCCACCTTTCCCACAAGCCAGTTTCTAAAATTTGTGCCCAATTTGATCCGCCCCAGTCAAATGTAAGTGCTTTTACTGTGTAATGGAAGCATCTAGAAGCAACAACAGAACAGCCATGAAGCCGTAGACCTCTCAAACTCACAGAGTGGGGCTACCAAGTGCTGAAGCACATATTGCAATAAAAATCACATATCCTCAACTGCATCTCTCATGTCAGTTCCAAACTGCCCCGGAAGCAATATCAGCATCGGGAGCTTCATGAAATGGGTTTCCAGGGTGGTTGTAATATCGCACCCATGTACACCATCTATTCAGCCTACAGTAGTTTAGCTGCTCATTGTTTTGAGGTGATAAGGAGTGTTATTCCTGCTCATTGTTTTGAGGTGATAAGGAGTGTTATTCTTGCACATTTCAGCCTAGAGCCACAGTTTGGGTTTTTGTGACAAAATATTGTTTTTTTTTGGCTTGGCTGATCTTACACATGAGTGCATGTTTACTGGTCAAAAAATTTGCCACATTTGCTACCATTTGAGCTAAAAAACTCCTACTTTGTATGAAAACAGAGATATGTATCACAGTCAAAGCAATAATAATAAAACCTACTCGACACCTGCCTCTTCTAATTGGTTTTTCAATTTGAACGTAACCAATCAGGTTGCTGATGCAATAGGTTCTGCGATCCATGTGCCAGAATTAAAAGCTTTGCTTTGCTTAAATTTTATTGCTCATCTGCTCTTATTAGCAGCAACTCCTGCTCCAAGAACGATGCCTGTGAAGAGTCAGGCATAAAAACAAGCAGACTGCGCTGACATGCTGCTAGAAGAAGCAGAAAAGCATGCTCTGATGCTGATTCCCCTCATTTGGTGCAAACCATCACGAAAACATGTTCCCATCAGCAACAAACAGAACCAGGGTTCACTTGGAAGGGATGCGAGACCCATGATTTTTGCCAGTTTTCAGCGGTTCATGCACCCATGTACTGTTGAAGTGTTCACACCTGTCAAAACAGACCAAACTAAAGTTTTATTGCTCCATACTAAACACAGTAGGTGTGAAAGCACCCTGAAGGCACAACATGGAAAAAATGGAAAGGATGTAGCATATGGGCCTTTTAAAGGTGGACCCACATTATGAAGAGGTTTTTCTACTTCTTAATTTTAACAATTCTAAGATCACTATGCACCAGACCAAGCGTTCTCTGGAGTGATGATTTACATTTCCCATCTGGCAGTCTGATGCACAAATCTGGGTTTACCAAATGCCAGGAGAACATTACCTAGTGGAATGCATAATGCCAACAATAAAGTGTGGTGGAGAAGGGATAATAGTCTGGGACTGTTTCAGGATTTGGGCTAGCCCTCTTAGTTCCTGCGAATGGTAATATAAACGTTGCAGCATACAAAGACATTCTAGACAATTGCATGCTTCCAACATTGTAGCAAGAGTCTGGGAAAGGCCTTTTCCTGTTGCAGCAAAGGGAGGTCCATAATAAAACTGTTTGACAAGCTTTGTCACAGAGCCCTGACCTCAATCACACTGAACACCTTTCGGACGAACTGGAATGTCGACTGTGAGCCATGCCCTCATGTCCCTCATGTGCTTGACCTCACAAATGCTCTTTTGACTGAATGGACCCAACTCCATGATAATGCACATGGTTTTGGAATGGGATGTCCAACACGCTCACATAAGTCTGTTGGTCAGGCATCCTCATACTTTTGGCTATATAGTGCAACATTAGCAAACAGGTAAAGACATCAATTTCAATATTGTTTATAAATCAAAGCCCGTGTTCATGGATCTGTCCTGTGATCATGTTTTTTTTTCCCATTATGTTTTCATCTCATGGCCATTGTGCAACAAAAGAGCAGCAGGCATCAGTAGCCCAAGGTACTTTTAGTGGCATTCAGATTTTATAATGGCGCACGGAGATGGATTGTGTACTAACCACACACATCTCCAAACATTACACTTACTTATTTAGCAGCTGCTCTTATTTAGAGAGAATTTAATGGTAGGTGAGTGTAGTGTGAGGTGTGTGAGTGTTTCTGTAGCATTTAATGTTTTGTGTGTTGAGAACTGGTATTATACACTATTCTGCCTTACAAAGACTTTGAATAAATAAGTACTGGGAACTATGCATGAAGCAAAACCATTTTCTTTTTTGATTTTTTTAACATAAGTCTGTTTTTCAGAACTGACATTTACTATCTTTTAATTCTCCACCTTTGCTCTCCTGTTGATACATAGCAGAAGACAGTCATTAACTCCTTGAAATGCCAAGCTTATTGCATACTAAGGCTTATTATTCAGTAACTACAGGGACCTCTGTGCAAACTGGTTAAACTGTTCTTGAGCATGTAATAAAACTTTGGCCATGTAAGGGGTTAATATGGCTGAAGACAAAAGGTCACATGACTGGAACAGATGAATAGAGGGAGTTAACCCCAGACTGGGTGACTGGATAAAGTCTTTCCTGCACCTAAACAAGCATTTAACATGTTATTTCTTAAAAAGTAATATTTTGGAGTGCAGCACAGGGTCCCACAGCCTCATCAAAGAAAATATACAATTTTATTTCCTTTTGGTGTCCCTTGCTTTTTTGTGTTCTCTCACTACATTACCCAGTATGCATTATGCAAATGTGTCATACAATCATGGAGAATTGCAGTAAAGAAATCCTGACTGTTTAACCACTGTGATGTAGAGGTTAATGAATACAGATCTGACATTTGGGTGTCTAGCAGTAACGCTAGCTATCTGCTGGTTTCCTTCTGCATTAGCTGTCTAGCAGGAAAAAAATATTCTAACAGCCTACCAATGAGTATTTGCCCCAAAGCAGTTGTAGTTTTTCAAGTTCCTCCTACTTTCAAGATCAAGAGACTGTGGCGCTACTGTACGAGGCGAGAAGGCATATTCACAACAAATGAAGGGATTCAATATTTCATTTTGACCGAAGTGCCTGTCCCCTGGTCCCCAGTGACGGCTGCGAGAGCCGGCAGGAAGGCAGGGCCCGAACTCCGAGCCCAGACAAAACCCTGCAAAGACGTCGGGGAGAGGATGAAATCTGCGAGGGAGTGGGGGACAGCACGCGAGTCCCGAGCCCTGCCTCCTGGGCATCGCCTCCTTTCCTGCAGCGAGGCCACTTTAATTTGCCTCACGTTCAATAGCAGTGGCCGAGACAGAGAGCGGTGGCGGCGACAGAGATGGAGCAATAAGCTCTCTGCCCCTCTCGGCTCAGGAGCTCACGCTGCTCTTAATGAGAGCCAGCTGATGCTGATCTGGCATGGCAGTGTGGGCACTTTTAAAAAGAGCAGAGAGAGAACAGAGAGGGAGAGGGGCGAGCAGCAGCAGAAGAAGACTGAAGAGCCGAAACACTCAAGTGAGAAAAGGACTGAAAAGTCTTGTCTGAACTGAAAAGCGGCCAGCTTAGCTTTGGATTTGATTCAGAGTTGTTTTGTTTGTGTTCGGAGTAGAAAATAAAGTTAAATAGCTGGTGCGACCGTTAATCTTACCTCCAGCATTCCTCATGAACCCGGGGTAGCACAGGCCGTGCTACAATAATGTGTAATGTATTTGGTGTCAAAAGTTTGCTTCCTCAGTTTTGCACTGGAACTAACAGAAACCACATAAGAAAGTCTACTTGAGGCATGTCTGAGATGATGCATGCATTTTGCAAGATGTGTACAGGGAATAAGCATCCTTTATTGTTAGCTTATTAGCCTCATAGTTCCATTGCAAAACTAATGAAGCAAACTTCAGACACCCCAAACAACTGTGAGGAAAACTGTGTGAATTCATTTACACATTCTCTTATTCAGTTCTTTTAATTCTTTCACCTCAAACATGGCATGAGACATTGCCTTATGAGAGGGAGGGGCAGAAAGCAGAGAGGAGAAAAGGAGTAAGATAAAATGAGAAAGAGAGGGAGAGAGAGAGAGATACTGAATGAAGATGCACCCTGTGCTGGAAGAGAAAGCCTGGCTAATTTATGAGGATCTCTGTAGTGGCCTCTGTCTGTCATCTGCGCTATTGACAGTTGTGGTGAGATCTGTATCAGGCAGCCTCGGCGGCCTTGGCATTTCACAGGCTGCCAGCTTTGAGAGGAGCCAATCTTTCAGAACCCAGCTGGTCACACATAAGGACCAACACCTCTACACACTGGAGTAGTGTCTCCTATAATAAACAGCATTGGTACCCTCTGAAAACTTTCAGAAACATTGGCACCGGCAAGACTTATAGCCACTTAGTGTCTGGGGCAGTTATCTGTCTAGACAGAACTGTCAAGGCAATGGATTAGCATTCTGTGCAAGTAAAGGTGGACTAAAATACTTCAGTGTGAGTCAAACTCAAAGAAGTCTGGAAACGATGTTCTGTAGAATGTTCTAAAGTTGTACCTGGACCTGCAGGACGGATGTGAAGGTCTTGGCATCCTCGGCGACCCCAGCTAGATAGTGTGGTTTGGTGAAAACCGGGAAGTGGTCGTTCTCATCCTGCACCTCGATGAACACCTTGGCTGTGTTACCTGCATACAAAGCAAATTGGATTTAGTGTGCCTACGGTTTGTCCTTATTGCTGCTTTAATTCCTTTTGGTAGACTTACTTTTGTTTTTCAAAAATTTGGCAGGGATATTTTTCCAAACCTCTAAAGATCAGTCTTAGAAGTTGGTTGCATTTTCTGCTTCTTACGATCCATAGAATCCCAAACACATTCCATGATGTTGAGGTTTGGACTTGAATATGTTTGGGATTGCCAACTAGTTGTTCTCAGAACACCAGCGGCTTTATTATTTGATTTGCAAGTTTTTTATTTTTTTGTCTATTTCCTATTCTCAGTAATGGCTTTTGACAGCTAAACATCCTTTCAGACCCATAGTGTTGAGTTTTCTTACAGCGGAAGGATGGACATAAAAAAATCTGTGAATATTTTCATATCTTCTCTCTCAAAGATGAAAGCTTTAAGTACTCCAGTTTTGGATTTCCCTATGCAAGTGGATTATCTCATTATCTCCTCATAAATAACTATTTGGCTTGAAATTAAATAAATGAAAGGCGGTGTCTGACCTTTACACAGTACTTTGTCATTAATGCATTTAAAATACCTTCACTATTTTACTTTATTAAAATCTTATCTCAAAAGTATCAAAAATAGTGTATCCATAACCATTTCATGCAACCATGTTCTGGGATGTACCTTTAGAGGCAATAAATGTCTTTGATGTCTGGTTCCCATCACCACCACTGTGACGATTCCCTCCAGAGTTTCTCACACCAAACTACTTAATAATTTAATTATGGTAAAATTTAGTAAAATTGGAGGAATTCCCCCTCAACCCCTTAAACTCTAGTCTTATAATTCAGTTATTAATCTTAAGACTTAGTATTCTATAACAACTATGAATTACTCATTGACCACTATAAACCATTTATGTAGACTATGGAGTTACGAGAGTGAGGAATGGAAATCTAAAGCCACTGATTGATCCCTTAAAGTTGTTAATTGTGGTCAGAATAAATAAAAAATCACTGAATCTACCCTGATTCATCTGATTCGATAGACAGAACTTTTATACACCGCAAAGCAATGCTTTTACACTCTGTTCTGTCATTTCAGCAGAATGCAGAGTCATGTTGTGTTGTAGTGAAAACAGTAAAAGCAATAGCGTCATTCATCATCTGACAGAATGCAGTGCTGATGCCAAAGGGGGGCTTCCAAAACATTCTCGTCCTATCCCCAATGTGGCATGAATCCCTCAACCACAGTATGGGCAGCGCATAGGAACAATACGCAGGAGGACTATACCACTAGTGCATTGCTACAGGCTAAGCTGTGTTTTTATGAAGTGTTCTCGTTAATTGAGCGAAAGGCCTTCAATCCACTCGGTTCAAGAGGCCACGCATCCTCCCCCGGCCAGAATAAATCTAACAATGTGGCTTGCTTTCACACTACCTCCTCTGCATTTAGAGCTGGAGTACTGCCTAATGTTCTGGTGGCTTCATCAATTGATGGAGTGTTGAAAGAAAACACAGAACTGTTAAGATCGCTGCCAGATTACGCTGGAGTCATGCTCTACCAGCAAAGCCACCATTCAAAGAAAGTGTAGGGATGCTGAGAATGTATTTGGCATGCACATGCTTTTCATCTTAACTGGCTTTCAAAATGATGATGAGATCTAATCAAAGTCAAACTCGATTGTGACTCTTCCAAACATGTTTGCATACTGGCAGGGGTGTAGCACCAAAATTTGGGCTCCAGGCATAGTAATGTGCTCAGGCAACCCAAACTCCCCTCTCTGAAGAAATTAAAGGAAAGTGAGGGAGGATCATGGTTAGTTAGGTCCATCATTAGCCCGTGGTCCAATGCCCCTGCATACTGGGGCTAATGAGATAAATAAATTATCGCCTCCAGCGACCCCATCACACTGATCAAACTTTTCAGCTCCAAATGACATGACTCCCAATAATGAAAAGCCCAGTCCCAAGACTCATGACAGAAATCCGTTTGAAACTGAACCATCACATGCACTAAAGCCCTAGGGGTGCTGCAATTAGTCACAAATGAAACTATAAAACTTCTCCGGCCAAGCAACAACACCAACAATTAACATGAAAGCCAGCAAATTCCTTAAATGCATAAATTTCTCATAGTACATATAAATATGATGACAAAAGCTAAGTATTTAGATAACTTATTTGTGAACTTATAACTCCTGCTAACAGATATAAAATATAAAGTATGTATTTTTTAGTAATATATTTTGGAAAGTGAACTAATTATGAACAGTTTCCACTTTAGCTACTGCTAAAAATGTCTATAACTAAAGAATTTATAACTTCACACGAGTTACCTAATTACTTATCTATAAGGTATTTTTTCATATTCACATACTGCATAAAATGTAAAGCTTATATCACTGTTAGAAAGCTATACATCTCAGTAATTCACTATGATGATTTGTATACATATACTGATGTTGTACAATTCAGTGTTTGTTAATGAATAGGTTTGTTATCAATGAACAGAAAAACTATGTACAACTTTAAGAAATATGAATACACACGTCAACCACTACATGAAATGTAATTTATAAACATCTGTACATTTTCTGATTCGGATTAATGATTTGTTCATAGCTATTAATGGTCATTTACTGATTTATTAAACAAAGTTATTAAATGTTAGTGAATATTTCTTTATTTATTCATTTATGGTGGTGGGGTGACCCTGTACAAAGTAAGGAACAGTGATTCATTTGTCTATAAGAAAACAATATAAACTACATGTGATGCATTTAAAACATGATTTCCTTTGAACATGTTAGACTCCATTTTCATTCAGAAGCAGCTCTGTAAGCTTTACATTTTCTTCTTGAAGACTGTATTTTGAGGCAGATGTTTTTGGACCATTCACAGCATCAGCCATTCATCATTTTAACCTCTTTCTGCAAGCTCCCTAGTGGTGGAATTAAAATCAACTTGGATATTTTAATTAAAATAATCAAAATAAATATTCACACCTCTCCACAAGGACGAAGATAAAATGGATAGCACAACTGCACCTTTCTTCATATTAAAAATTTGTGTGCAGCAGCCGCAATAAAAGAAATTAACCCAATAAAAACACTTTTATAAATGTTGACTTGCTCGCTTAGGAAAACGAAAATCCAGTTTGCGTTTGATTTTGTAAATCATACAAATTTCCATCAACTATATCCATCAACAAAAAAAACAGCCTAGTGTAAAAACTAATGGATCTACAAAACATGTGGAAATGGCATTTTACTTTAATAAAGCGTGCCTGGCTTTGTCTTGTTCAAAGGTAGAGACAGTGATATGCTTTTTTAATGAAGTTTATTGTGGCTGACTATTGTTTCTAAATAAAGTTCCGAAAAGAACTAGGCTTTAGAGAGTAACTTAGAGGTAATGTGTATGAGATTACCTTTTCCAGGAATTAATCAGTAAAGTAATCCAATTACAGAAGTCATTCTGAGTAGCTACCCCAACACTGATTATTTATCAAATGTTTTGAACGTGGCTGCAGAGCTCTAGTGGCTGACTCACTTTTGGAAGGTGCCCGCAGGTTGGAGGAGACCACTCTCATAGAGTCGGCCTCCACACGCAGGACGTAGCTGCTGTTGCTCTCATAATCCAGTGGCTTGGCTGTGCTGATGACTCCAGTGTTGTTGTTCAGGGTGAATTCACCTGTGGAAAAACAGAATAAAAGTTGTATGAAGAGCACAGTGTCAGTGCATTTAGACTATTGTCAGCTGATAAAGCTGGTCCCTCAAATAACTCACTGCTCGAGTGAAAAGTTTTACAGAATGGGCTTTACTTTCCTTAAGTCCAAGACTAAAACTTAAGGAACACTTTACTTACAAATTATAACTTCACTAAGAATTAATGAAAGCTATTTGTATACATTCACTACTAGTTAATTTACATAATGTTCTTAGTAGCCCCCACTAGTTTCCATTCATAATCAGGAGTGTTACGAATTTTAAGCAAAGTTTTCCATTAGTCTTGGTCTAAAAGCCATCCTGCAGTAATGCCTTGGGTCAAATTTGAAATTCAGATGCAAGTGCACGTCTTGAGACTCATTACCGTTCATTAAGGATTATCCTAGCACTTAGGTGATGTCACCATGTTAAACACCTAGGATTCGGCAACTTTGAGGGCTACGCTGATTGCCTTATCCTGCTGCTTTTATGCCCTCTAATGAAAACGCCACTTTGATTACCTGTGTTTTCTGATTCCGCCTGATGAGAAAGAACCAAAACCAATTCCCCCTCATTTCCGACCGGCTCCAGATGTATTCAAATGCGATTCCCAATATGGCAGGCAATTTCATCTGAGCATGAGGTTTAATCATGCTGATGATGGGCCTCTCTATCTCTCTGCCTCTCTGTGCATCTCTCTCTCTCTCCCGCCACAGACAACATCAGCAATAAAGAACTCTTCCTCAAACAAAGCCTTCTGTCAGAGAGCTTTGGAGCTCTCTCAGCAGCTGCACGCAGTCTTTCGGCCGAGTCTGTAGTATTTTGTTATGCCGTTCACAGTGTTAAAGTCAAAGAGTTACAGAATATAATTTGTTACATTACCAGATAAGTTACCCTGCAAATGTTTATACTACGCCAGACAGGTCAGTATAGGCCACGGGGGGTCCAAGTCTGGTAATGGAGGGCCTCCAGCACAGTTTAGTGATTTCCCTGCTCAAACTCAGCCAAGGCTGGCTTTACACGGTGAAACAAAACTTCAGTGAAACTTGACAGTTACACAAAGCAATTTTCAGTGGCCTGTGTTTTGAATAAACAGGTTTTCTGTCTTCTGCCATCATCTGTATACCATCAATAACATAAACACAGCATACGTTAGTTATCGCTGCCAATAATAAACACGTTTTGTAATTTAATTGTAATTTTTCTGATTCATAGCCCATTGAAACAAGTGAAGATCAATCAATACCTTTGTTGTGCATAAAGTCTTGTTTAACAGAAAGAAAAAAACATTCTTAATATTTTTGTTATATTATTTGTTGACACTGAAGCACAGTGCAAAAAAAATCTATTTTGGCACATGTAAACATCTTAAATCTAAAGTCAAAAGTTTGCAATCATTTGTCACAGTTACAATAGCTGTTATTTTATCCAGTGATAGTTTAAACAGGGTGGACTAAAGTACTACACACCACACTAGACACTAGAAGGTATTTTATGATTGTTTTTTCATATTTCACATTTTTGGGAACACCAAAAAGTGATAACGTGCTGCAGTTTTCTACTTACAGCAATTCCTTTGATAACTGCAGATTTGATCACCAATTTTCAAATGCATGGCATTCTGGATGTTAATTCTATTATAATTTCATTCTCAATATTATACAGCTTTCTTAAGTATTATAAAATCAGCTCTGTTCATAATTCTATTTGTGAATAAATGTATAAAATTCCTTCATTTTTCACACAAAATGTAATAAAATTTAGTTGAAACTCATAAAGCTGTAGATTATGTCATATTAAAATCATATTGTACATGTAATAAAATTGGTTTTATATTAATGAAAATAATGTGAATATTGATTCCAAGCTAATCTTCAACCTGCTGATACAGAATGTAACAAATGTAGTTGATTATGTAGCTAATCATGTACTCATGTAACTACATTTCAAAACTGACAGTAATATCTTGACTTTTCAGAGTTAACACAGTTTTTAGTTGTTCTTTTTTTATTTGCATCCCCCTCAGATCGATTATTAGTAGCATTAGCTTTATGTGTCTGAGTCTATGCTAGCTCTTCATCAGCAGACACAGGCAGACACCTGTAGTGCATATACTCACCCCCTTCATTACCCTCGATGATGGAGTAGACAATGCTTTGATTTATGGCAGCAGCAAGGATGACACCCACTACACTGCCAACAGGAGCGTTCTCACTGACCGGTGGAAACCTGCATAGACACACACACACAGTGGGGCACAAATTACACATGTGGGTTGTAACAGAGCATGTGAGTGGTGCAGAGTGGGAGCGGTGCAGGGAGTGGAGCGATGTTATATTGCCCAGAGCGAGAAGCAGCTTTTTAGAAAGTACAAGCATCAGTGTTCTTTCTCACACCAAACCTGCTCCAATACATATGGATGTGTAGCATCTTGTCCTTACGTTCAAAACATATGATAAATATCATAAGAGTGAATTATATGGAGTGGATGTGGAGCGGGTCTATAGTCTATATACAGAGAAAATGCAGATAACGATGCCACTTTGCATTGCACTGAATTAACTCCTATTGTAAAATCCTATGTACAACCGCTATCAAGAACAGCCTACAAGCAAAAGCTTCCTTGTACTTTAAAGTTGATGCTAGGCTCATCTTAGCAGCTTTGTCGGTTATAAGAAAGCAAGCAGGGAATGCCATCTTAAACCAGTCTATAATAGAACGTATTGATCACAGCAGCAGATGCAGACCGTGTGTGCTTTTCTCCCCAAGTGTATTCATATCCTTTCACCCAAGGACATGAATACGCTTTATTCTGCGTGATACGACAGGATAACAATGACACGCAATCTGAGTTACTGGCAGGGAATCAATGGCCCTGGCTGCCAGACGGCTTGATTATTTCACACGCGGCGTCCTGGCTGAGAGCATGACTCCATCTCATTTTATGAAACAAACTCAATTCATTTGGGCAGTAACAGCCTCCCCCAGCACATTTTTAGGTTAAAAAACACAGAACGTAATTAATATGAGAGTTAAAAGAATCTCCAACTCTGTGGAACAGAGGTATTAGAGGAATATTCCAACGTTGTTCAGTCTGCTGCATCTGTAGCGTACGGTCCATTACCAAGGACAAACACCTCTGACAGAAAACCTGTTTAGTTAAAATACCGGCCACTGAGAAGCTGCTGAATGACAGTGTGTTTATGCGGTTTATGCAATGTTTATGCAAAATATGTGAAAACATGGATTATTCAGGCCAAGGTATTTTGAATTAAGCTGTAAATCTATATAATTTCAGAGATGAGAGTTTTCCAGAGATATTAGTTAGTGGTAATATGTTACCAGTGTAAGGGAGTGGGTGGAGTTTTCACAGGCTCCGCCTCATCATACAAGGGCCGAAAACCTTATGCTAGCCATACACTAGAAGACTTTGGAAATACTTTTGAAAGACGAAAGTCTGACATGCTCTAACATCTAAAGACAATGTGTGTGATTGTGCAAAGACTGGGGATCTTGCAGGGTCACTATTTGCAAGACTGCAAGTACATTTTTGAGATTATTTCCCATCATGCACCTGGTTGAAATTTACATGCAGAGAAACCCTTTTCCTTCTCCACTCTATAGTGGTACAAATGGGAAGATACATTGGCTGGGCATGTAAACATCTGGGGCTCAGCCTAGTTCACAGTGGAATTGTATATTCTGGCAGATCATCACCCAGTATTTTTTATTTAATATAAAGATTTACACATAAACAAAGCATGGTTGATTGGGTACTATGAACTAAACCATAAAAAACAAATAAACAAAATTATAAACCACTGTAACAGAAAGCAAAAAAAAGGAAAAAAAAAAAACAGTGATGCATCTTCAGTAGTGCCATTCTTAAAGTCCTCTGCACATTTCATTACATTATTGTTACGCTCAGTGAACCTGAAATATTAAAACGCTCAGTGAACCTGAAATATTAAAAATATTTTAAAAATATTAAAGCCAGTCTATATTTTAAGTTAATATGATTATTGTTTTAAAGTGGAGCAGATTCGCCTTTTTTACAGAGATTTCAGGCACTCATGCATGCATTCCCTCTTCCTCTCTCTATCTCTCTCTCTCTCTCTCGTGCCAGACGCATGCGCTCACCTGCTTGCTCTCAAGCGCGCCCCTGGCACGTCACTATTTACATGAGCCAAGACTTAAAACTTACAATAAAATTAAACACGGCTGATTTTGTTGTAGCATCAAGACGAGAAAAAGACTGACCTAAGACAGCCATTCTGACCATCTCACATTAAACAATCGAGATGATGCGAGAGCGACGCAACTCTAGCAAGACTCTAATGATTTTATCACGACACTGGAAAGTTGTCTGCGACTGTGAAATCGCTTAAACAGTTGTTTGGTGTAAGGCCGGCATTAGTGAAAGCGAAAGTGACCAGAACTGCTTATTTTTTACTGTGCTGCTTCAATGCTCAAAAGTTGGGTGCCTAGCTTATCTTAAGACCTTTACTGTTAAAGGAAAATATATGTACAGTTATATATGTTAGATATTTTATAATGTAAACCTTCTTGGGTCATTTCTATTAGGCCATTCATCATGAAATGTTCATACAAGTATAATATATAATACATAATACATAGTATAGGAACATTCTTGTAAGTACAGGAATACAAATATGAAATTATTATCCATCTATCTATACACTGCATATACAGCAGTTAGAGATTATGTTGAAAAAGCTTGTGCTTTCCTCTAAAATGCTAGTGAGCTTAGGGAAGGGTGTATGTACTGATCTGTCTACAACTGGAATAAAGCAGCACTGTGATGTACAATTGTCTTATTAGAGGTAAATGCAGCTGTTTTGGCTGTTACAACTGTGAAAAATGTCATATGTCAAGAATTGACAGGCTTGTTTTATGACAGCATGTGAGGCACATACAAGTATGTGGTGGGGAATAAAAAAAAACTAAATTATGGAGACACTGTGAGAACGTCAATTCAAAGAGAGAAAAGGTAATATAAAGGTAAAAGTAATTGTTAGACAGACTGTTAGATGGAGAGACAGGGAGAGTGTTTGAGTGTACAGTAATGTGCAAAACTCAGAGATCAGCCTTTTGTTCATTCAGTTTCCAGTCAAAATGGCATTTCATTTATTTTTCAGTATCAGAAAACAGACACTGAACAAAAAATACACAAAGGCCTCCAACATAAAGTACACTATCAAGTCTATCAGTATCCAATTTCCACTCTTTGTGTTTGTGCACTCTACTGCCACTTCAACTCTTCCTTCCAATCTTAAAATCAACAAGTTACAAATGTGTCCTCATAACAAAAGCTGTTCCCAAAGGAATCACTGACATTATGAGCCTATTTACATCTTGTCTTAATGTGCTTCGTGTCCAGATAGTATCTGGATTCCATTTACACTTTTTACTGAATCGTGTCTCCAGTGTGACCAGATAAGATCCGACTATACTTTTTCCACATAAAAAGCATGTCAGCACATACACCGTTTCTGTTTTACTTTAGTTTACTTTTTTCCCCTGTTACAACACGAGTAGACAAGCTCAACTTGGGCTCTTTCACCTTGGACTGCATGAAGGCCCTTGGTTTAGAGATAACTTCAGCCTTGGGTGTCCTCCATCTTTAGTTTCCTTGTTTAAAATCTCACCTGCTAGTCAGCGCTACGCAGACACATATCCGCTCACGTAATTGTTTATGGATAGCGAAAACGCATCGTTTACACTTGTCAAGATCTGTCTCTGACCACCTCTAAATGTGGTTTGAGTGATTCGATCATAATCCAATCACAATGTGTCCTGCAGGTGTTTACATCTGGCTTACAATGTGGTCAAGCAAAATCCAAATGTGATCTGACCACTAAAAATGCATTATATAAGTTAATGTAACACAGGCACTATGTTACCCTTCAAACAGACACTAACATTCACACAAGCAACTACACAAACGCACCTTAGCTGTCTCACAAATTTCTCTCTCATTTGCATCTAAAACAGCCACGTTTTTGAAGAGATTAGACGTAAGATCATCCACATATTCACAGGGCAAGTCAAAGGAAAATATACAAAAATCAAAAGTTCCAAAAATGGAATTGAAAAATGATTTAAAGACACCTAACACAGTGCAAGATGTGGTAGACCACCAAACCGCCACCAGTTAAACAGTACTTTAAGCTTTTATCATTGAGAAAGATGAGAAAATTAAGCTCCACTCTTGCTTCAGATCTGAAAAAATCCACAGGTGTTTCAGCTCATCCTTCCAATACTCAAACAAGCCCATCTGGCACCAACAATTGCGCCATGGTCAAAATCAATGAGATCACATTTTTCCCCATTCCGACGGTTGATGTAAACATTACTTGAAGCTGCTGTCACAAGATTGTCTGATTAGATAACTGCATGAATGAGCAGGTGTACAAGTGTTCCTAATAAAGTGCTCAACGAGTGTATATACTGTGCACGTTTATAGAGACCTTGATATTACAGTTGCAACTTCTAACTGCTTATGCTGAGGTTTTCAACATACTGTCTGAGATGTTGCAGTCATAACAGATTCTAAAGCTCCAAAGCAGAAAGCCTTTTATTTAAGCCTTAGCCCAGTGCTGAAATGGTAAAGCTCAGGAGCTAAATTACGATGGCCAACATTTCTTATTAGTATGGTGAGTTAAATAAGACCTTGCACTAACTAGCAGCCACACTGATAACGTTAAAGGCTGTGCTGAAGGTTTTAGAATGTGGACGGCAAAAAGAACACTTAACTTACTTAGCTCCATGACAGTAGCTACGCTGGGAACCCAGTGCCAATATCTGATATTTTTCATGACCATATCTGCCAGTGACTCAAATAAGTAAACACTTGGAAAATCTAGAAATTAGGACCACAAATTCCTGGATTGGCATTACATTTACTGAGTTACAAATTCTTTAAAATGAATAAAATGCAGACGTTTGAGCACAGCAGCCCAGCGTCACCTGAACATTCTGCTCTTCCAGAGTAAAACAAATACACAATCAACTATCAGTTTGAAGCAAGGAACAATGATCATTGGTGTCCGGCCTATCATTGTTGGATGGTCTGTTGCTAGGTGGTTGCTATGGTGTTGCTAGGTGATTGCTATGGTATCCCAGGTCGTTTCTATAGTGTTGTTATGTTTCTGCTCTGGTATCCCAGATAATTGCTAGGGTGTTGTTAGGCGGTTGCAAAGGTGTTG